TAAGAAGATGATTTGCATTCCCTATTATAACTATTAATTTCAGTATGTGTATATGTGTCACTGTCATAAAAAGTCAGTGCTGTATTAAAATACAGTATATCCAAATTAGAAGTTAACTAAATAAGGATAGGCTAACAGAATTATCCTAACATAGATATTTCTACTCTAATACAGTATATAACACTGTCACAATAGGATATATTAGTAGAGGTGATGATAAAGTTAAATATTGTAATCTTTAAATAATTTTCATAAACAATCCTTGAACTAGCTCTAAATGTTCATCTTGAATGTATAGCGCTAATGAAACTGAAAATGTTGTCAAGTACAAAATTTTACTATAAATTTGCTATCGGAAATGATCAGAAGTAATAAAACAGAATTCAAGTATTGCTAGGCTTCAGCTTGGTCTACTTTCTTTACCGTAATAATTGAAATCGTTTACTTACTAGTTGATAGTTGAGTGATTACTGAAGGTGAAGAATTTCAAACGAGAGATGAGTGTTGGCTCAGATTAGCGTTCAGATTTGCTTATATAACCATTTTCAGTCGATGATCAGGAATGAAGCAGGTGGCTAAGTATTGACAATAAATTAGTTACTTTTCTGCTATACCATTTTCTGCTAAACCATTAGAGAATGGTTTAGTAGCGTATGTCAATAAACATGACTAAATCTGAATATTACTTTATTAAATTATTAAATCTCATCCTGAATGATCACAATTCAATTTAAGACAGCAATTAATTAAGAATCTAGTTTCAACTGGTCTGATTCTCATGGTATATCAACATTTTAGACTATTTGTCTACTTCATTTCAATTTTCTTCATATTTTGGGGTCAATTGGGACTAAATCTATATCAAATTAATGAAAGCATCATAATTTTATGAGAGAGTTGACTTTATTGTAGCTGTTACTAACATAGCTAGCACCAAAATTATTTTAATGTTCTGTGCTAAGCTGTTATTTTATCATTAAAATCTTGGGTAACTTTACCGTTTAGTTCCTTTAAATTACGGTGTAAATGATGTCAGTTTAATAGGATACATTACCGTATAGTTATCATAACGCTAGCAATTAATTTCAATATTGAATTTTTTAATTCCTGTTTATTAGTTGGGATAAATTATTCATTCGCATCATGCATTGAAAAATGGTTGAAGTCTCGTTTTTTGTAGTTGCTGTCAGTGTGAAAATTAATACATAGTTGTATAGAATAGTTGTAGAGAAGTTCACTTTCGTAATTTCTACATCTTGAGTGCTCAATATCAAATGTTGAGATATCTTATGATTTTATTATTTTTCAATCCGTAAAGGGAGGAGATTTAATGGATATTTTTGGATACTTAGCAAATTAGATTTAAAAAATGGCAAAATTCGAATGAAGATATGCTTTACTCTACTACTATTCATTTTAATATGCATAGTCAGCAGAGACCAAGGTTATTATCATAATGAATGGATTACATTTTATTTATAGTTACATGATAATTCATAGCAATAAATGAAGTATGTTGATATTAATGACGCTAATATTTCGATCCTCAAACATAAAATCCTAAAGGCAAGATATTGCCTGATTAGCTTATGATGCTATGACTGTTAAATGATTAGAGTAAACATGGGTATTGCGATCTGTACGCGGATGACCAATTACTTAGCGGGGCTTTTTATCATCTCTTAATATTTTAGAATTAATCTATTTGTGAAGCACAGGAACCCAGAAAATTCTCGTTTATATTCCAAATATTTAGAAAGAGGCATTGTGTGGAATACCATTTGGTAATAATATAACGGAATTGGTATTATAAATTATGGTCATTTAATTATGATCAATAGTTATTTTACGGATACTTTTCAACTACGAAATAGCATGCGGTATAATGCTATATCATAACGATGAATTGAATTATTCAATATTGATATCTAAACAAAAACTACATTATAGCACTTAGCTGTCTATTGAATGTTAACGTGCTATTCTAGGCTAAATATAATATTAATAATCAACCAAGGATTATTAGAAATTATATTATTATACCACCGGTAATCTCATCAAGTTCAAAAGAGATTTTTTGTAGTATTTTGAGATTTATAGATGATCGAATAATCAATCTTCAACATTTATTCACTTTGTTGGGTATATCTCGTTATTAAGAAGGATTGTTCTATTCTAGCTTTAAGATGAGGGTTGTTTAGGAGTTTTTCTAGTAACTATATCTGATATTAGTCATTAAATGATATATAATCACATATTGCCTATTCAATATCAATGTTTCGCTAATACTGTAGTCTACCAATACAACTACGTTACTGCGATATTATATTAACGCTTATTTCAATAATTGGAATTAATGATTATATGGTTATCGATGTAAATATAGAATTGAGTCAATAGCAGACTATTCAATTTATGTAAGTCATTCTTTATTTAAAATTAGTATCAATGAGAAACGTCCAATCTAAATATAGTAGTATCAATAATAAATGTGGATTATTTCTCCCTGTTCGGAAAACAGATTGAAGCAGTAAGTGTATGGCACTATTGGCAGTATTTCAATTTGGCTATGTAGAGTACTAGTAAAATAGTATAAATAATTAAATAGCGTAAGTTTGCTGTTGCATTGATGTGAATGACGCGGTATATTTTCTTTGCTATAAGCAAGACTTTGCACTGTAGTACTGTCTTTTGTAAGATAGTACTGCAGCCCTTCACGCTAAGATTTAAGATTATATACTATATTGCTAGGCAACCAAAGTAAAGCTATTAGTACCATAGATCAACCCATACTGCATGATTTTAAGTGATTGATTGTAATCATTATATCGCCGGATATTATTTGGACCTGGTATCTGCATTATTATATAAAGTACAGTAAATATATACGAAATGAGATGACTTATAGCTAAAAATCCGCTTCCGTTTTGCTTTACATGATAATGATGTTATAGCTTTCATGCTGAAGTGATATTGAGTCATTTACTGATTGATAGCTTGCTTTTTAGTGACTATTTTCATTCCAAGATATCAAACTATTAATTTTAATTTCATACATATTTGATATATTATTTAAATTACAAACTAGATACTAATAGATTTTTTGGTGTATTCTAATTAGAGATTTGAAGGGTTTGCTTCTATTAAATTATTAATCTCCACCAATGATACGGTCTATGGGGTAAGAAAATTGAAAAAAAAACAATTGAGAAGGGATTTAGCGTTTCTGATAAATTTGAAAAAACAAAAATCCGAGAAAAATCGAAATAAGATAGTTGAGAGAAGATTTAGCGTTTCTATTGAATTTGAAAAAAACATTAATCCGAGTAAAATGGAAAGTAAGATGATTGAGAGAGGATTTTGCGTTACTGATAAATTCAAATAAACTTAATCCGAGCAGTCTACTTTTATGTTAATTTAGTACTTTATATACAAAAGAGATAAAATTAGGCCCTAATTTTATCGTTGAGTCGAATGTGTTACTACGAAGGTGAAATCTTAATAAGAATTACGTAAATTAGAATTAAGCTCATATAATTAGATTCTAATTATTATTAAATGAAATGTTGAATTGTAAGAATAGAAACGAATTATGATTCTGTTTTTTCTTCGATTAAGGTTATTGTAAAGTTATCTTTAATATCAGGAAGAAAGAAATAGACAACAGAAAGCGTAAATAAATAGAGAATGATAATCTAATTATATAATAATAAGATTTCATTACCTATTTTAATAGTAAATGAGTTTGGGAATCTTGAGCAGATATTCTTGATTAAAATTCGCATCTATTTTTATACTTCTCCGCCCTAATTTCCATCTGATGATAGGCATTTACTGTAATTTATTTCCGTTGTGTTTCTCTGTTTTTGAATTCTACTACGTTAGATAGAATAAATTGTTCATTGTTGGTTATTAAATGGAATTAGATATTTCTCTATGAAGTGAAGAGATAGCTATAGATTTATAGCACACATCAATATACTGGAAGCGAATTAATAATTGGGCATTGCTCCAAAGTAGACTCTAGTTACTGGCTTACTAACCCGGATAGATGTAACTAAAAGTAATAAAATTTCAATTGGATCTATTCATTTTTAACCTGAAAGTTTTTCAATCTAATTCAGTAAATATTTTAATGATTTCTAAACAAGCTACTAGATATCATATTACAAAGTCTATAACAATTTTAAATAATTTAGACATGGTAATATAACTTCCTAATAGTCATTTATTAGCACACATTTTCGATTTTACTGAATAAGGATAATAGCTCTTATTACCGCACTATGGTAATATTTACGGAAGAATATAGGATAAATACGGTATCAAGAAATAATCAACATTGGATTTATTTACATATAAACAATATCTTCACTTCAATACATTTTCAATTAACTAATTATGATGATGTAAGGGAAGTGATCATACAGATTCATTTATCAGTAAAGAACAACTTTTGTTCACTTCCGTGTAACCCAATATATTTTACATTATATCCATTACTCTCGACATAGTTTCAGATAAGTTATCTCGTACCACAACGTAATGTTAATTTAAGTTGCCCATTCACTGCTATACTGCCATGTTATAACCGATGCACTAGAAAATTATACGTTAAGAAAAGCTAAATCTGCATGTTCTTAATTTTTAAATGAATTTTAAAATAAATTGAGTGGATTGTGCTATAAAATGTATTTATTTACGTAATAGATAGTATCAATGGAGTAGCTTAAAATTTCTATACTTGAAAGATTAGCCTGCTAAGAAATTTCCAGATAGGTTTCTCTTAAATTATTGCGATAGACATGAATATGAATGGAAATGAAAGTCATTTATGGTAGCAGATTCAACTGTACATCTTTATTTGATGAGTCCAGATATATAAAATATTAAATTATTGTATAATAACATAACAGTTATGATATAAACAGAAATCATCTATTGTGATAGTTTCATTTTCGTATTTTACTTTAATGTCCCGGATGAGTAGACAGTCCTATTTAATGTCTAGCTGACCAATAATTTAAAATAAATTCATCAGTCTTCGAGACTCCTATATAAGCAATAATTTCTGTTTCTGAAACTGGCGGTATACTAAATAAAGTACGATGATTTATAATTACATGAATAAGCGGATAATAATTATAGTATTCTGTGGACTTTAAATTAAATTTTCGTCACGCTGCTTTTAATAAATAGAAGGACATGATATTAATTTACCATGGTTGTCAAATAAATTTTCACCAGATGGAATTATTACCTTGAACTGTAAAATAAATTTTGTACAAAACTATAGGCAAGTGATTGCGACATTAAAGTATCTTTAACTACCTTTTAGTATAGAAGGATAAGACATTTTTTCCAATTTATTATTACAATACAAGTATAGTTGCGCAAGAGACAATTCCGGTCACTTAATCATGAAACCGGATTATCTTTACTCGCAGTTATTATTAGAATCATATTTATAATTACATCTTATCAAATATTTAAAAATTATTATTAGCGATCCTTGTTCCTGTACCCAGTCTCCTGTACATGATATTTCAACGATTTTGCAATATGTTTTGCTATTGATGACATTTCTGAATCCTATAGCCAACCTCTTATAAACGTATTCTAAAGGAGCTAATTTAAAGAAATATTAAATTAAATAGGAAATAATTAGTAGAAAGTTTCGAGTAAAATTATTGAATATGCTATTATGGTAACTAAATGTCAAGTATGAGGAAGATTATCTTAAATCGTTGTCTCGTAACGAAATCATTTTTAATTGTTTTTCGAAAGGATGCAAGAGATTATAAATTTCATTTTAATGATGACTATACGATTGCTAATATAATTAGAAAGGTTTGTTATAGAAATGATAATATCTAAAATTATCATCCAGCGTACAGACATTAATTGTATATTTTGCAACTTCTTAAACTATGCTGTTCAATCGCAGCAGATCAGATTCCTTACTTATAAAAATCTGGTGATTTTCTCATGGCATTGAAGAATTCGTTATAGGTAATTTTTCCGTCACCATCAAGATCAGCTTCCTTAAGAATCTGTCATAGTAGTAAAATTGAAGGTTTCTCTACAGCTTTAAGTCGTCAAAATTGATACATTAACAGTATCGATTAACGATAATTGTCTGAGATTTAAATGATATATCCACAATCATTATTATAGCGATTCGTTTAAACTCACATTAACTATTAGTAGTTGTACTTCTTCCTCATCTAGAATATCTACATCACAAACGGTGTGGATCATTTGAATGATATCTTCTTCATCGATAACGCCATCTTGATTAAAATCTGATCATCACCAAATATGATGTTAAATCGTTAAAAAAGATTGGTTATAGTGTAAACTAAAGTTATAAATAGTTAATTTTAAAGATTATTTTTGTCGTTGATTCACTTTATCGTTTTGAAATTTATACGAGTATGAATAATTGAAAGTTTATTACTTCAATTCGATTACCGTATATCTTGAAAGCATAACCAAGCTTAGCTTCCGGATCAATCTTTAAAAGAATAACCAAAATTTTATTATCTTCTTACGTGATACTACATAAAACTAAAAGTGTCGAAGTGGACTTTTATTGCTATTAAAATTCTACTTTGATGATAAAAATACATTAAAATGATAGAGTGTAAATTTTATAACGCTCATAAATAGCTCAAATCTCGTTTCAGGTAGTATTGTCAGCTCTCGAATTAAAGTAAAAGGATTTGAGGGTTAAATTGCTGTTAAATAAAACTGCTAAACATAAAGTACTAATCTTGATCATTTCAATTGAAATCGAGTGGCGCAATTGTATCTTAGATTCGTTATAGTCTGTTCAGTCAGATCATATATTTATAACACGAAAGAAAAGGCAATGAACAATATTTGTACCTTTTCGCTGAATGCAGACATCATATTTAGGAAATCCTCGAAATTGATGCTTCCATCTTCAGTATCTTCCGATGATGAGAAAACATGACAAATTCTATCGGCAAACGGATTGCACTGGATAGAAAGTGCGAAAGTTAAATCGATATTTGAGTGCTATGCTATGCAATCGATGTGAAATATGGATATGCATAAAGCAATTTATCTTGATTTATACAGCAACATGAGTTACATAAATTCGATGATCTTGGGTGCAAATACTCATGTACTCTTTCGTAGCAACTGTAATACTAACACACTTGAATAAATAATTAATTATGTTAGCCTCTAATTTTAAAATATTGTTCATTCTAATCGTGAAATCTGCTTCATTTTCATTTAAATTTATTCAAGAGACATTCTCAACCGGAAGTGATCTCCAAGATACTAATCACAATTGCAGTAAATTGCTTAAGTATCATACCGAAAAAGTGGCCGAAAGTAATCGTTTAAGACTGACTTACTGCTATTTCGACAAATCTCTCGATAAAGATTTTCTTATCCAGACGGGTGATGAAATCTTTTGGAAAGTCATTCGGTATAATTCCACACCACTTTTGGTAACATCTAAATTGAAATTGATATCATTTTATTATTACATTTTCCGATTGCAGTGAGTTAAATTAGGTTACGTAAAATGCAGTTCGTATTTGCGTTAGGTTATGTATAGAATCCAGTTATTTAAAGTATATTAAATCACAACGGCTGAATTGTAATTATCAGTTGAACTATTAAAACTGTACTGAAATTAATGTAGATTTTATCGTAATACTATCGATTACGGGAAACTAAAATAGGATTACGTAAAACGTTTCTAGTCTTCAGCGTAGCTTGTGTATAGAATCACGGTATTTAAAAGTATACTTAGTTAGAATTACTATAGGTTAAGTTATGGATTGGGCTATTGATATTATATTGAAATTAATGTAAATTTTATTGCAATAATATAGACTACGGATAGGTAAAATTGAATAAGTAAAATGCTGTTAGTCTTTGCTTTCTTACATATAGAATAGGGCTATTTAATATATAATAAATCATTCTAGATTAAATTATAGATACCCAAAAAGTGAAATAAGATACATTAATATCTATAAAATTTTCATCAAGTGAATAAAGTCGACCTATTTCAAGATACATTGATTTTTAGGCATAACTCTTGCGCTGTAAAGGAGTTTATATTTTTACGCGTATATTTATTACTACGATGTCCTATAACTGCTGATGCGCTGTTCTATAGGTAGATTACTGGAGTTATAATATAGACAAAGCTACAGAATTGAATATAGTATAGTCAACTACATCAATTTTTTATCTTCGATATAGCTAATGTGAACCAATTTAATGGGTCTATCAATCCTTTAGCTTACACTAGGCTTAGATTAATTTTAGGGCCGATATATTCGATTAAGCTTATTTGTTATACAATAGCTTTGAAGAGCAATTTTAAAAAAATTATATAGTAAACGATGAATTATCTACCTGATAATTTCTCGACTTTTGAAACAGGTCAAAGCCTAGAAAATTTATAAGCAAATAAGTTCATGAAGATATTCAAAACATAAATTTCATAAGGCATTTGTTACCTAATAACTATGAAAAGAAAATTACATTATTTTGTTCGTAATACGAATTCTTTCAACACAGCTAATTGCGTATAATGTAACAAATGAAATTATCGTTCATGTCAATATCCGTAGTATAGAAAATAGAAAAAGACAGTTAATACTCATGTTAATCCCCTACTATCGACTGTAAAAGACGTTCATTACTTTAAGTAATTAGCGAGACGCTACTTTAATGAAAATTAATTTCATGCTCTAGACATAATGTCTTTATCGTTTCTTTGCTAAACGCTTAGGGGCCTTTGGCTATATTTCTAGTGATTGAGTTGAAAGAAATAGCGAGCAATAGACCTGTAAAGTATGCTATAGAACTACTATAGATTAACGAAGAATATTTTGAGAGGAGCTCTTTCAATTCATTAACATTACCATATCGATATTAAATTATAAATTTTCGGTATGCTTATTATAGTCTCTGCTAGGCTTAATAGCTGGTTGGCAGTGGGTATACTTTGTCAGTTTTATTGAGTCAGAAATATATTTAGAAAAGAAAATATCGGCACTCTTTAGCATCTCTATTTCCCCGTAAAACCCTAAATGAAGATATAGGGTACCTTCCCACATTTCTATCTGAAAATATAGCCAGTAATTTCTCTTTCTCAATGTATGATGGAACTGCAACTGGTGTTAACAAGAAAATACCTAGGAAAGAAATACCAACCCTTGATGATGCCACTGTCTTGCATATAAATCTTATCTGTTTGGTAGCTTTAATATATTTTGATGTTGGAGATTTATCCTAACTGAGACATTCTTAAAACGCATAATCGAATTCGGGTTTGATTAACAAGAAATGGGCTACGAAAAAAAAGGTTTCATTGCTAGCTAATGAACACAAATCCTTTGGGTACCGCTACTTTTCTTGCTATTTTCTGTTTCAGCAATGATAATTCTAATCCTATTAATAGTTAATAGATTTAGAGTTAAAGAGCGGTTGATAATCTTTGAATAAAGCAGATCTGAAGGATTCTAAATGGGTTATGGGGACATTTTGAGTAGATTGCTGTAACGAAATTGCCGCGTCCATTTTTATTGATTGGCTTGCTTTTTGACTGAAAGCCTATTCTTTAGGTAAAAGAGTCAAGAAATATAATCTAATTTTCTTAATACTCTTTCATGATTGATCTATATTAATCGACAAGAAAGCTGAGCTGGTATGGATGTAAAATTAAATAGGATTTCAGAGCGGATTTATCATTAATAAAAGGTATGACTAAAAGCGTATTTAGATTAGAGAAGTTTAATATTCAAGTTCTAGCGTATCGTCTTGTATCCTGATGGCATTATTTTGTCGATTATCAACCGCAACCGCAACAATTGCTCGTCGTTCATTAAAGCCACATTAACGAGTTCATTCAGGATATCTAGGAATTTCTTGGAAGAGATGGGTGTGATAAATGGACGATATATTCATTTATGATCGGTAAAGCCTTCTCTTTTTATACTATACAATAGATCTTACGAAATATGATCTTGATATTGGATTGCTTTTATAGCCGAAGCTATAAGCTATGGGTATAGAAGTTTTACGTTATTGCGGCTTATAATTTGGATTCGTCATTAGATATTCAAACTTTTCTTCCTCTAGTCACTATAAAGTGATGTAATATTATGTTTACAGTGCTTACTTTGTTAAGTCTGATAACTTTTATTCGTAAATAGACATTCAAAATTTTCTCCCTTTAGTCACTGTAAAAAGCGATGTATTATATTATATTTGCAGTCTATGCATTCCGTAGCCGGCCACTACTTTGTACTAAAGAATTAAGCAATAAGTCATGCTGTTTTCCAGCGATATGTAATATAAAACGTTGAGTTAAAGGTTAGAATAAAACGGTTTTCCTATCATTTATTAGTCATTTACCTTAGTCAACTCGCGGAAAAGGTACGATAATTTTTAGCCATAATCACTTCCTACAATTACTCGTATAGTACAGTTGTAATTAATAGAGCAGTTTCTAAGAGAATTTGACTAAACTTTGTATTCCAGATTCGTGTTGAAATTAACGATCGGAACATTAGAGTTTTAGTATGTACACAAGCTGAAAATTTTCATTCAAGACTGACAATCAGATTGATCTTCAATAGAGTTAGAACTGCTGGTAGTATTTTTCTTCTATAAAATACGAAGGGAAGATCTATCACAACTCAATCCTTGGATTTTTGGGGATATCGGTTGAGGAGTAGAATAGTCGTCGCAAAGAGATTTGATTTCAGTTAAACCACTACCATAGTTGTTATGCTGATTTATATTTGACACAGTAAGAACAGTCAATGCCATTTTTCTTCTCTGAAAATCCAGATCTATCGCAACTCAGTCCATAAAATTTTGGGTGCCGATTTACAAGTAGAATAGTTGTTGGAAAGAGACTTTATTTCCGTAACAGTACCGTAGTTGTTATACTGATTTATATTTCACAGAGTTATAACTGTCGATATCGTTTTTCTTGTATAAATATGAAGAGAAGATCTATCGCAATTTAATCTTTTCAATTTTGGGGGTACTAGGTTAGGAGTAGAATAGTAGCCGCAAAGAGATTTTATTTTCAGTTAAAACAGTACTGTAGTTGTTATACTGTAAATTTTTACCTATTTTAAATGATTGATGACATTCTGTGATACCTTGGTAGTCTAAATTTGTTGAGGAGAGAAAATTATTAGAACCAATTCTAGTTAGTATCTGATATAGAGACACCAATTATACATAATGGTTCAATAGGATAAGATTGAGAAATGAAAACTATTTCTATTTTGATAGGATGAAGGGACTTTACTAGCCTCAATTCTAAATCCATTCTGGTCGATTCCGATGCAGTCATTGAATCGAATTGTACCGGCAGGATGTTTCAATTTCTCGGTTAATAGGAATAGAAGAACTAATCTGTGATTATCGGCAATAATATTGCTGAACATAATTCATTTCTATTCATTTAAGGTGACCGAATTTTTGAATGAATTACAGCGAAAATTGCAAGAAGTTCATTACCATGAGAATGATTGCGCATATTGTTTTGGATATGTTAGAAAATAAGTTATGTCAATAGTCAACGGAGAAATTAGTTCAAGGTTCTATTGATTGCCGTTTTACCTTACCTCATATTCTTCTAATTCTTCAACAGTAAAGACAGATTGCCAGCCACCCATCCTTGATTCTAGGCCGTTGTAATAATTTTAATTGGATAAAAAACAAGCGTTGAAAAGAGTAGCGATAGTACAATGTAGTCGTCTATTCAACTTGCAATGGCGGAATAAATCTGTGTCTACAGAAATAGAATTTATAAGATTTTCTTTCAAGCCTGATGATAGAAATAAATCAATTTCTATCAATCAATCTCGGCTCAAGTAGAAGCTATTTTAATTGATTAATATCTGCCAAGAATAACTTCAACGACGGTATTCAATAATGACGATGAAGAAGAGTGTTTTATAGAATATCTGTTGAGGCTATAGTCAATACTATGATATAATTAGAAGTTTTGACGTGGAGTAGATCTATTTAGTAGCACAATATTTCCTCTCAATCCTATAAGTTTGGCTAAGTAATTTCTTCTTTTTTTCAATTTCTATTTCTATCCACTTGATTTTGAATAGGAAAGAAAGGTAAGAAATCGTATCAACTATATCAAGTCATGAATAATAGTGAATAATAAATAAAAAAACAGTCTGTTGTCATACAAGAGTAAGAATTCAATGATGACAATGATTGATTATTTTAACGCTACAAAAGCTCAAAAGAGGATTGTGGAATTGCTCCTCTAATTACTCTATCAAGAAAAGAACGCTTTGAAATTGCTTTCTCCATGCTGATCATGACGTCATAATTCGCTATAGTAGATCTTGTTTTTACAGCTGGTTACCTCAGTAAGAAGTTCATTTCTTGCTCTAGGTCTATTCATGGATGAAAGATAATTTATGACTTGAGAGTTTGATATGAATAGAATTAAATCATAACTTACTTAGTCCATTGAATGACTTGGGTAATTGGGCTGTTATTGAAGAAAATTGAAGAAATTGAATTATACGAGGACCGATTATACCAGCAATATAACCTCTCATCTGTAATCGAGGGAAAGAGAACTAAGTTAGTCTTTAACTTTCCATTTCTAGGTATAAGTTCAACCTGATCAAACTATAGCGATTGCATGACAATAAAATTGTTATTCTTATAAACGCAACGGGGCCACTTTTTATTATAGTGGTCGCCTATCATAAATGATAGCAGCGTAGAAAATAGGTTATTTTGAAATCGGATTAATATGCTCGAATATATTGTCCGTGACTACTGTTAAAGCTAATGAGATTTAAATAGAACATCAAAAGAAGATGGAATGATATATCAATGCATTAGGTAATACACGCAGAATAAGAATTTGTTGATTGGCTAACCTTAACATCCAATAACATGTCGTTTCGATGTCATATAGCTGAATAGATAGTAGCAATATTAGTAACTTAGAGCAAATAGACATGTTCAAATATCACGATTGGCTAACCTTAACATCCAATAACATGTCGTTTCGATGTCATATAGCTGAATAGATAGTAGCAATATTAGTAAGTTAGAGCAAATAGACAAGTTCAAATATCACTTGGGATAATTCAATCATAATATAACACAATACATTGTTGATTTCTAGCCTTGATATCAAACAACAAACCTTGTTGATATCATACTCGTATAGATGAATAAATTGTAGCAGTATTAGAAAGTTAGAGAAAATAGACAGGTTCAAATATTACTTGAGATAATCTAATCATAATATAACACAATTTATTGTTAATTGGTTAGCCTTAATGTCAAATAATATACTGTATCGACATCGTACTCGTATAGTTGATTAAATTGTAGCAATATTAGTAAGTTAGAGAAAATAGACAAGTTCAAATATCACTTGGGGTAATCGAACTATAATATAACAGAATATGTTGTTACTTGGTTAATCTTAATATCAAATAACATACAATATAGTTGAATAGATGGTAGCAATATTAGTAAGTTAGAGAAACTAGGAAATTCACATATCGTTTGGGATAATATAACATGACTTTCATAATCATTAATAATTTCATTTGGTTTAAAATGTACGTATTTTGCGACCTTATTATATATCGGTATAGTCTTGATATACTACCCACGAAAATTACCAGGCTTTAACTATTGAGCAGTAATCTGGAATATAACCATATCGAGAAAATCATCACATTTATGTGTCACTTGGGTTAATAATCAAGTATTTTGTGACTTTGTAATATATCGGTATAGACTTGATATACGGACTATCGACAAAAACTACCGGGTATTAACAGTACTATGGAATATACCTTGAATGGTTAGACAGATTTTAAATTTGCAAAACAACTTAAGTTTCCTTAGGAAATCACATTAATCCACAATTTGATGATTTGAGCTCTTCATTACTATGCAAACGATTCTATTTTATAGTGATACTAAGATACAGTAATATGCGACTACAGGATAAAGTGTATTTTATTACAATGTCTTTAAATGCTATGTAGACTATTAGCTAACGACGTAAAGCCTATCTGCTTTTTAGATATAACTATATACTTAAAAAAATTGCGTAGCTGAGAAGAATCATATTGAAACTGTGCTAAAATTGCAATAGAAGAATATTGTCAATAACATTAACGAGGGATGGATTGACTCTTGACCTACACGTATATACGGGACGAGAACTTCGTAATGGTTAAATCCGGATATGCTATGAAGTAATGGGCATATTTAAGCTTTAATAAACAAAGCTATTAAATTAATTATTTCAGGCCGGTATATTACATATTACATTTATTCAAAAAAATGGAGTTATAAAATTGCAGCTTGATAACTTAGGCAAAATCTCGAATTAAATATCGCAAAAGCATTGCCTTCAATGAAGTAGCTAAATTTATTTTTTCTTGAAACATCTATAAATATACTAGAAGGGTTTATAAGTCTAGAAACGAATCTTAGTGTAGTGATTTCGGCTAGTTATAGAGTACTATGAAGTAAGGTAGCTCTAGGACGTGGAATAGTCTCTTATGCTTAATAAACTAATTGCATGATGAGTGGTATGACGAATAGGTGTTTTTGTATAATTGAGTCACGTTAGAGATTAACTCCATTTTTAATCACTCGAATTTCGAGTGAGTGGATTCAATAGATTACGAACCTAAGCGATTATAAATCCCCATTTATCATAGTTGCATTTATCATATATTGCTTTGTTGAAGTGTTTTATTACGTAACAAAATAGGCTGCTAGAATATTATTTCACTTATACAGTATATAAATTGAAGGTTTTGTATACAGTAATACCGAATTATAAATATCATAGCAATTAGTAAAGGTCATTTTCAAAATATCCCTTGTTTAGAAATACACCAAATAAATGGAAATAAGTACACCGGCGACGTTAGTAGATTCAGGATTTAGGCTTAGCCTTAGGGTTATGGTTATATAGATAGATTCTAAGAGATATTGATCATACTGTATTTATGAGTTATGTTTACATTTTTATTACTTACTTCACATCTGTTCTTATTTTTAATTAAAAGGCTTAGATAAGTCAATATTTGATGTTTATGACATTGACAACTGCTTCGATACTGGACTAAGAGTAATAATAAAATTATTATCATTTGGATAGAATAACCTTACGTGAAGGAATGGGTGGAAATTCTAGCACACAGATAACGAAAGAAGAATTAGAAAATTTAAAGGTAGTGAGGGATCGAAATAAAATTTCATGGCGCTAGATTGAATAATCAAATTTTTTGCTGATATTATTCTTATTTATGACGGCGTACTTATGTATCGAAACAGAAATCAATGTATTTGTCTAGCAGAGAAATTCTTGAGTAAGTTATTTCGGTGAATTTTGTGCCACATTTCTTTCAATTAATGACTTACTAGCTATGTAGTTGTTAACTTTGCTTTTTTAGGCTAAAATTACAGGATTAATATTTTGAGTTCACTTTCTTATGATCTATGATATCGTGGTTGAGAATGTAACGCTTACTTCTGCCTATGACGACGCTATGAAAAATTAATTATAAAATAACTTTAGATGTCATCGACGATGGATTGAATTGCTTCGCATAAGAAATAGAAATGTTAGTCAATGGAGGGAATGCAGAATATCCCAAATTGATTTCATTGAAGATCTAGCAGAAATGACTGTAAGGCATGCATCATGGAATCTCACAATATTTGATATATTGCATTAAGCCATATTCCAAATTAAATTTGCTTATGTTAGTTTGTTAAAGGAGGTATCTTCAAAGTAGTTAGGTAGCATATAGGTAGAGAAAAGCTCGGTATATCATTAGATATAAAAATTATGGCTTATACTGTATTCTCCTTAAAGATACTTTAATATCGAATACATCATAGGTAAATCCATTTGCAGATCGAATTTGTACTATTTTATCGTCGTCTGAAGATCGTGATGGAAGCATGTCTTTTGAAGATACGGTTAATCTTTTTTCTTTTTTTAATCAGAAAGTAAGAGGAAATTTTAATCTTATAAATATTTCTTTTGTCTCATCTTATAGCAGTAAAGTTAGTGTTAGTATAGTATTTTTTATCAAATAAGCATTACTTAATGATTTCGATCAGGTCTCGTCGGGTATATATGTAAATGTCTTGTTTAATATCTTTATTAGGCTCCTAAAGATTTGAAGGCGGAATTAGCCTTTGCGATCTATGGTAAATGATAAGCTATATGATTTCGTTTAATTTGAATAATTAAAATTTTTATTCAGCATGAAAATTTACTATTCTTTAAAAATATAATATAATTATCGCCTTATGTTAGATAACTCTTTGCCAAATGTTATTTTTTAGTATGATTATGGTATGCAATTATACTACTATTAAGTAATATTAACTAAATTTATTTCTTTTTAGCACCATGTCAGCATACTAATATTGTTTGACTACCCTATTCGCCCTATGCGTATATTCTGTACAATAAGCTAGAATTATAATCTTTAGCAAATACAAGTAAAAAGTATTAGCATAAGGTCTACTTATTCGCATTGATAGATTTTGACGGCGATAATAGCATTGGACGAAGCGATCTTGCGCAGCTGGTTTACAGATTATGTGGTAAAGCTCGAATTAATGAAGAGGAATTAAATATACTTATCGAGGCGGTAAGACTATAGTATTGTTCGTAGTGACAACACTGGATAATCTTACTTATCTACTTTATTTCTTTTAGTGCATTTCTTTCTGAGATTACAGAGTATCCAATTATAGATCATAGTCATTATATGTCAATGTTTTGGTTAAGTAAATATTGATAGAATCTGTCACATTTGTAATAATTAAATAGTTTTACGGAATAGTGAATCTTGTTTGACTTGATGAAATTCGTTTACTACAGTATATTGCACCAGAAATTCTTTTCATAGTCTGAAATATTGTATAGTTATACTTTTGACGGATGACACTGTTATGTTCTTCAATAATAAGTTCACTCCGTGAGTAAGATTGATAACCGCATTTTATTATTAGTTGATCGGTATTTATAGCTACACGAGGTTACACCTCGATACGATTACAGTTTATACTTCGCACTACAATTAGTAACTTATCAGTCCGCCTTTTACAATGTTATCACCTACTGTATTACAAGTACTACCATACAATCATCACATACGTACATATATAGTGTTTCCTTTATTTATGCCTTTATGGTTAAGATATCGTATTTAATCTATTACGAACTATATATACAACAGACACCGTAACCCTTGTAATGGATCAAGTTGCAATTACAGATAAATTATTTCTTAGGTCTTAGATGAAGCAGATTTAGATCACAGTCGAACACTCTGCCAGATAGAATTTATGCATCTTCTTACTCATTCTCCAAATTTTGAAAGGTATTAAATAGTTTTATAAAACGAAGTGATATGGATTAAATTATAAAGTATGATACCTTTTACATTAGTAAAAGCTAGGACATTGCAAAATAATAAGCATGGCTTGAAATATTTTCTGATGGGACATCACCTAATATATCTCATTCTGTTTACGCTCCGCAGCTCATTTTGCATTCGTATCTGAGAATTATTTCGATTTAGAAGGAATGAAAAGAAGGTTATAAAAATTAACAGTTTCTGTTTGATTCTCTTTTAATATTGATAGCCTTTTGATGCCTTTGTAGTGAAGTAAGCTTCTATTTATCACAATATGCCATATAATAGATTTAGATTGGACTATAAATTAGGATGACATGAATTTTATTTATTAAGGTTTCATGTAATTAAACTGTATATTCTCGGAAACTCAGATTTGGCTTCATCTGATTAGTGAAATTTCTTTCATTCTCATACTTTAGATAATGATAACATAACCTCTATTAATACTTTATGATTCATTTTCTAATAAAGCCTCTAACTATTAAAATCCGAATCTTCACCGTTAATAATTGCTTACTAGTAGATAGATGCAGAAGACAACAGTATGGCATATTCACTTTCTTTTTTGGGTACCGGGTATAGGTTTACGGTAACCGATATTTAGAAGTAAATATGTATGCGGTAGTCGTTACTCTCGTATGCTATTAATGTACAGTATTCTGACTATCTGTGCTATTCTCTACTTCATATAAGTTTCATAAAGCATGCGACAAGGTAACGTACAGTAAAAGTCTATAAGTAGTTACTGACTTAAACGCCCTTTTACTTAACGTTAAACACCCATAGCAAAATACTGTAAAGATGAAACTTTTATTAGCAAAGATACATGTACAACTTTTTACCACACCACTCAACTCAAATGTTCCCGTTTATATAGGAACCGTCTAATTTGTAAACAACAACAGTATTATTAATATACCTTACTAGGAGAAACATTTCGAACTGAGATGTTTCTTACATAGCTTTTCTATCGGTAAATATTTTGAATCTTACCTAGCACTGCAAATATGGATATTCTCCATACTAGCTATTACTGTACTTATTAAACTATCCTAATGACAAGGCAACACCGTAACACCATGGCACGAAAAGACGAAAAGATAGATTAACGATAATTTTTAAAGTTTTAACAGTTTTCCATCGCGAGCTAATAAAAGCTAAAAGCCTTCTTCGATATTGCCTACCTAATAAGAAATACCTATAGAAATTAATGGTAATCTCATTGATAGTATTACTGGATATACCGATACTTGCTTGCACGTTTACTGTATACTCATGATGAATTATTCTGTTATAAGAGTTTTAGAAGAGAATTGCAATGAGAAATTCTTCTATCACATGTTCTCACGTATCAGCCCGATATTTCTTATTTTAAATATTGCACTTGCAATTCTGGCAAAGATGGACTTCTAGTAATTGCTTATGTTAAATCTCTATTTTAAAAATTACTGGTATATTTCTGTTAGGAAAAAAGTAGACTGTAAATATTTTTATCTCTTCCATACTCGTATTGAAGAAGCTTTTATGAAACAAGAGCCTTTTCAACAATAGATAACAAGTTCTAAGCTATTTTGTCGCCCTATGTAATCAATTCAGAAGCTAAAGTGACATTAATATAGTTGATAGTATACTTTAAACTAAAAATGTTTTTAATATACTCCTACCTCTTTTATAAATAGTAATAAAAGATCGCCAATACTATGTCGCGCTCTGATGGATCTATCAATGTACTAATTCAAACAAGTGCTAGTAGGAAAGGATAATAATACTTTAGAACGCAATATATTATACCATAATCTAGCTGAATGACATTTTTATATCCCAAATACAATGTAGAAAGCATACGATAGACTGGATGTATAGGTACGGGCTAACATAGCGTATATTAATTGCAACAGGGCAATCATTATATCCCACCATTTACATATTTTAAATAGGTTATCCTTTTAAGTCTACTTTATATTATACTGTTGCTAAACTGCAAACTCAACATTTGATAAAATAGCAATAGTCTTTCCTAATGGCTGTAAGCTACAAACATTAAAATTAATTTATGAGGACAATCATGCACGAGGTAGCAACTACTTCCTGATTAAATTAGAAGCTTGGACAATATGAGGTTGTATTGAGTGGATGATATGACTACTGTGTTCGAAGGATATGAAACCGTCTTTTTTTTCATAGTCTAAAATAACAGTATCTACCTCCTGCTAGGCCAGAATGAATTGGAATTATCCTTTCCCAGTATCTAATTGGTTATGGATGATAGGGTCAATTTATTCTCGTATATTAGAGTAAAAAGCCTGCTATAAATTGCGATACTAAAACATTCAAGTCGGCTCTATGGAGTGGTACCATTCCAGTAGAGGTCATAAATTATTAATTTATGCTAATCTATTCTTTTATTTCATAGCTTTTATGCTTATAATGCAATAAATTAATGAAACGCCATTTCATACTGACATTTTACAGTAGTTTAGTAAGAGCCATACAGTGCTAGAAGATTATCCATTGTAAGCGTCTTTTGCCTTGGGATTGAATAAAATAGGAGAGGTAAAAATAAAAAGATACATGTTGATGATACGTCAGATATCCTTTAATCTTGTAGTTTAACCCGGATTACAGTCTGCTTGATCCAGCTTGATCCTCAAGTAATCATCACCACTATTGCTCTATCCGTATTGACGATTAATATTATGTGGCTTTATGACAATATAATGAGAAATAAAAATTGCACTTTGGATGGATCAAAATTTATTTTTCATGGGCGTTACTCTACGATGTGAAGATGTGAAAGCTCTAGCGATGAAATGTTAGTCCTATAGAAGGTGTTGGGGACATTTCTTTGACAGCAAGAATATTGTTATAATTCTTAAATAATTTGATTGAAATTAAGATCATTTTAGAAGTACAAAGACGCGGTCGAATGAGCAAATAAAGCGTTGGAAAGATGTGTAGAATGACCTGTCTTTATCGTTGAAAATTAGTTGTTGTTATTCTATTTCTCTGGGGAGATCTACCTTGTTATTATCCGATCTTTTTTGGCTAACAGAAGCACCATTATCAACTTAATTTTATTGGAAATAGTAGCATCAAATCAAACCTTAAACTTATTTTTTATTAACGTAAATTAAGCTGTCCAATCTATTTACTGTCTGCAAATGAAAGCGATGAAGAAATTAAAATTACGAACTTTATTTTACTCTGGACTGATGATCTTCTGTTTAATTTACTCTTGGTCTTATATACTATTTCCTATGAGTTCGTTTTTTAAACACTCCATCGATCCAGTGAGTAAACTATTAGCTAAACAAGGTATAAATACTCTAAATAGATAATAAAAATAGTAAAGTTGAACGTTAGTAATTGCATGGTTTTAAGAGGATTGTCAAATGTTAATGCAGCCTATTCACTGGTTAATTTGTGTAGGTGCCAGTGCTAATGGTAATGATTGGAAAATCCTGAACAAGTTGAAATGCCAACCAATAAATAAACCAATCTTGCTATATAATCGAATCCATAAAACAGGTAGTACATCAACAGCTCAGTTAATCAAGCGCAGTGCGGCCAAGTTGCAATATAAAGTCCTAGTAGGTAAAAGATAGCTACTTGTTGAGGGGAATATGAATATTCTTTTTTCGTGCTATGGCGTATTCTTATATTTTGTTTTCTAGTTATACAAGTTCTATAGTACAGCTTAAAATAATCAGTACCGTTAGTATTAGTATTAGTATTTTACTACAGCGTTCATTGAAGATTGATATGATTTTTGTCTCATTTTTTTATCGATAGGGAGTACAATGCAGTGGGAGATTTTCGGTAGTAAAAATCATGAAGCCATTAAAAGTGAAATTCAATATGCTATCAAACATCGACGCCCTTGGCAATATCCACGACTAGCTTATGTTGCTCATTTCTATTACTCAACTATCTATAATTTATCTTATACTTATATCAATATGGTTAGAGATCCACTCGATCGTTATTTGTCCCATTACTATTACCAAAGGTATGGTGATAGACCTAAAGAAAAATTAAAGGAGATGAGAAATCTTGGCCAATTCAATGAATCTTTACAGGACTGTTTCCAGCAACAACACCAAGGCTGCGAATTAAATGTCATGACGAGGTTTTTTTGTGGTTATGATAAATATTGTGCTCTAGGTAATCAACGTGCATTACGTCAAGCTAAGAGGAATATTTTAACCAATTATGCAGTCATTGGCTTGTTGGAAGAATGGGATTTATCCAGTCAGTTGTTTCGTAAGATATTGCCTAACTTTTTTACGCAAATTAATGAAAAAATTTCCAGATATAAAGTGAATAAAAATCGAAAAAATGAACCGCTATCACCGGGATTAATCAAATCTATTAAAGAAGCCAATCAGGCCGATTATAAATTATATCGTTTTATCAAGCAATTATTTTGGACCCGAGTAACAAAATGTGGTCTACAAAATGGCATGGAATAAATTTTATTATTAGCTAGTTGCACCCCGATGGATTATTGGCGTACATCTTAGAACAGATTTTGAATTAATACATCAATGAATGAAAAGCTATTTGAGATTAAGTATACAGAAATCGTAAAGATGAACAACTATCACCAAAAATTAGTCAATTCTATCAAACAAGTTGATCGGACGGTTTATAGGTTTATCCATTCATTAAGCAATTATTTAGGAAACGAATAGCTAAATGTGGTCTACAAAATGATGCGGGATATAGTTTTATTGGAGCCTAGTTGCATTCCGATAGATTGTTGGCATACATCTTAGGACGGACGTTAAATTAAAACATCAATGAAGGAAAAGTTATCCGAGATTAAGCAAATAGAAATCGCAATTTAAACCACTATCACCAAAATCAGTCAATGCTAGCAAAGAAGTCAATTGGGCCAGTCTGTTAATCTTATCTATTCATTAAGTAATTATTTTAGACACAAATAAGTAAATGTGGTTTACGAAATGTTGTAGCTTAAGTTTCTATTGGAGTATCCGTTGCACCTACATCGATTGCGAGGAATGTGATAAAGAAGTTACTTCTATGGGCTACAGTTTCTAGTAAAGTTACGGAGAATTAACGCATGAAAGTATGAGAAGTTACTCCATTTGGGTAGGAAATGGAAATAATGGATCGAAGCGATATAATCTACGACCTTAACAATAGATGGCAATCTCTCCATCATTTAGCTTTACCTTGTATCTTTCCATAGCAAGGATTTTAAACTATTGTAGTGTATGGCATTCAATCATTACATTTATCAATTAAAGTGCACCAATAAAGTCAACAAGGTCGTATTAAAACTTCTCCACCATCATATAAATTGGTACCTGGTGTGAACATTAAGGGATGGTGCTCTAGAAGCGGTGATATGTTAAGCAAATACTTTCGTAAGCATCATTTATACATATGCGAATTGGAGCTAATATAGTGGATGTCCTATAATGTTCTGGATTCACCAGCTAAAGCTGCAAGACTGATATTTATAAGTAATAACGTTTCTCTATACTAGCAGAAATGAAGATACAATAAGGTCTAAAAGAGGGCTATGGATGATATTTCAATAGGATTACCTTTGGGCTGCTTCGCTTATGTAGGAAATTTTACGGCTAACTTAGTGGATACCGTACCTCAATTAGTTAACATTATTTTACATTAATTGCTTTCAAATCTTTTAAATTATTGCTATAGATGCCTTATTGTATATTCAAATCAGCAGTTAATGCAACAAAGATAATGTATAAAAATGCCAAAGATACTGCTTGTTGGCTGGAGCTAATAGAAAGCATGATCAATAAAGTAAGCCAATAAAGAATCGAAGAATGCTCTCTATCCATTGGATTTGCTATACATGATTCTTATCTTATTTTTGTAAGCTCTGTCGTTAGGCAGCTTTAAAATATGCTATATCAATTTTTCCAAGCTACAAGGTTAATGTATATATATATATATATATATATATATACTCGTATATGTAAATGTTAAAGTTTCCCCATGTTGATGGAACTTGATCTATAAGATGATACTCGTATAGTCAATAAGGGTGATGGATGAGCCCAAAACGATAAGGTTAATAAACTAGGGTTACAAAATCAATGTTTACAAGTAATCAGGTTTCTTTATATTGGCTAATAATTGGCAGCCTTCATCTTATTCTAGAGCGTATTAAGGTATCATTGATATTCTTATCTACGGGATATATCTTAGCAAGCCTTCCCATCTAGAAATGATTTACAGCGCTGTGACAGTCAATTTCTTAGCGGATCTCGTCATTTTATTTGCTCTTATCATTTTTGTTCCTAGCAGTTTTTATACGCTATTAGTCTTTAGTGCTGGCTCATCTTGATCTTTGTCCGTATACCTATCTATGACTGCCTAAAACGATACGGTATTCATGGATGTCTTCCAGTATCAGTTATATAATATTACAATCCTTAATTTCTTGAGCATACACGTACGTACAAAAGTATCATAAACACTCTTGTTGATGGTGTATTACAAATAGGGTTTTCCTGCTAAAAGAGTGATAGTATTAACACAGAGTATTTGTAAATCGTTTCTTTCTTAAAATTTTAACATTCTATTTATTATTTATCCTCGTAATTTCGTTGCGTAGCGATATGATATTAGTCCTTGATAACTGTTTTTTTCCTAATCTTTCTTGATGTGCTATCTATTCAATATGCAGCTGAGACGATGTTATATTCAAGATGTACATACTAATATACCAATATCAATTTTGCAAGAATATTTTATTTTCCATAAAATAAGTGAACTAATCTCATGTACAGTACTATGAAATCAAATAGGAAAGCCAGATGAAATTAAGGAACAGATTAATTATTTTTGCTACCTTTATTAAAATAAATAAAGTGAAAATAAATGATGTTTGATATTATAGGTACGTAAAATTAATTGGTTTTAATATGCTCCCTTTGCTGAAATAAATAACCATAGATGGAAGTCTACTGATAAAGGCGTCTAAAATGAACTTTATATTAAGTTCTATCTATGATACAACTAGGATTGAAAATCAGCAAGTTAAAATTATCACAAGAAATGGCTAAATCTCCTAGCTTGATCTATTGCATAGTATTATAACTAGGCGTACGTATTGAGATAAGTACAATCATTGACTAGATTATTTTACTGCCCTAAGTGAAGTGAATAAATGTAGAAATAAATCTTGTTTAATATTCCTTTCTAGGTTAAATCATCGATCAGATAGACTTTTATTACTGTCTTAGTTGAAATAATCAAGAATAGATAGAAACAGTTATTAATAATATCATAAAAATTATTTAAAACCACATTCTATCTTTTGACGATAAGCAGTGCTAAAAATTAGTAAGCTAAGTTCTCAAATGAAATCACTGAGTTCACAAATTGCTATTTCTTGCTACTATGATTAGTCAAATCTTGGCAAATGTAGAAACTAAAATAGTATTTAAATTAGATTCTAACTGTAAAGTTCAAGAAATATAAAAACAGAAACATGCTTGATAGTGAAATTATTCGAGACATTAACAAAGCTTAGACTTAATTGAGGTATTGAAGTTGAGTCAAAAATGTATTGTGCTATTTCTGATTCAGAAAGTTAATAACTAGCGGAAGGATTCATTAAAATCAGTAAAAACTTGCGTATTAGCTATGTGTCTACATTGAAGGACTAACTTCAATTTAGAGTAACGATATAGGAATTTAGGCTATGAAGAGGAAACTGTTCTTCCATTAACTGGCGGTTATCTATTTTCTTTGCACCGACATTTTGTCTATTAAAAGACGATTATCTCATCTCGTCGTATAGTAACCAAATCATCATCCAAGCTTAACAGGAGCTATAGGAAGAATAAGGGAAAAGAGTTAATTTAAAATCTGAAGATAACTAAAGTAATATTTTAAAGGACTAAAAATCACAGCAAATAATTACCAAAAAGGAGACGAATAAAGCTCCAGCTGATAGCATGTGCCAAATATCATGATAGTCATAAAAGTCAAGAAAGGCACATTCTCGGTTTAATTCGCGCGATCTTGCAGGTGTAGCCTGGTTTAAATAAATAACGAAGAAATTAATATTGGCATTAATGATGAAAAATATAACTTAGTTCATCGTTTATTTTGTAGCAGCATTTATTGCTCCTTCTAATAATATTTAAAAATCATTTATAAATTACCTGTCTTTTTGCAACATTTTGACGGAAAAAGTAGATTGAGAATACCCATAAAACTGTGGCAATAATAGATAATAAGATGGATAACCAGAGAATTTTTTCCTTATGGTAAATCTATTAAAAAATTTTAAATATTAAAATTCTTTCAATGCAAGGTTTTAATTTTAATTCCTTAGTAAGGTTAAGTTATGGTTATTAACTTCTGATTAGTAATTTTATTTTAAAATTTTGAGCGAAATAATTACCTTTTCTGCAATGTAATATGCCAGATACATCATCAGATTGGACATGAAAATTGCTAGAAAGAAGCTGCCAAAATTATCTGGTTCTCTAATCAGACCAAATAATGCCCTAATACAGTATGCAAATTGATAACAAATTAGTTCTGCCATTAAACCCGTAGGTTAAGAGGATTTTTTTGTCAAATTTTCTTTTATTTTAAATAAAAATTACTTTTTTACTGGTATAACTACAAATGTAGTGCCATTAGCACATCCGTGAAATAGTTATAAAAGTCTTAAAATCGCCATTAAAGTTACAATATTTTGGTAAAATATTTTTAGCACTAATTTTGATAAAGAACTCACAGTCCCCAGTTTAAAGCATTGACCAGAAGTAAAAAGACCAGAAGATCCTAAATTAGAACAAGGAAGCAAATTATTTCCATTTCACGATTAATTATTCTATGCGTAAGATCATAATATTATTTAGAATCGTATGGTGGTGGCATAGAACCAGTATATTCACTTACACGAGATCGAACTGAAGAAAAACATCCTTTTCTTGTAAAACTGAAAAATCCTTTCCATGAAACTATAACCAATTACAGATCAATTAAAGGGCCAAGTCTGATGAGAAAATTAGGTTCGATATTAGGACATATGCAGTAGCAGGTATTATGCTCTACTTACATTTTCTCCATTGTCCGTAATAATATACCAGCACGCTTATGAAACTAATTGTGACGATATAAATGACCGTAAATACGACCCATAGTGTAAAAGATTTGAACAGCTATAAGAATATTATATAAAATCACGGTAAAAACGTTAGAAACGCTAAAATGAATGCAGCTATGGCTCGCAAATTGCTATCTTGTATTCGAAATATTAATCATTTTGCCCAGTTGAATTTGTAAGTGACGAGAAAGTATTGTTGAAGCATATAAAATTTTATTTTTATACTATTAATACTTATTATTTTCGTCATTAACGTACAACTCCTATGACCGCGAGGCATATAATTACGGCAAAGCATAGGAAAATCATGTGTTCGCTGACGATAAGATCAGGATGGCGCACGTTATGAATCTGAACCATGATCAAAATAGCCGTTATATACATATAGGAAGTATCTGTCAAGACATGATCAAGGTACAGTAAGATAATTCATAGATTACAAATACCATATCATAATTTTGAGCTATAATCAAGATAGCAGTAATTGCTTATAAGTGTAGAAAGTAACATTTAATCTTGCGGTAAAGTAAGACTATCTATAGGTTATAGTTATTGTAAATTTTAGACTTTAACTAAGATATAAGTAATGCAGATATCGGAAGTATCCATCGATACAGCAATAAAGGAAAGGCAACGCAAGGATAATTCAATATAAACCGTAATAAAAATCTAGTTCTTGATATTAACTCTAATGCAATGCTGAAATATATTGATATAGAGCCTACCAAATTGGAAATTGGTTTTATTAGGACAGATATGATAGCATGCACTAAGAATGCCTTCCATGATGAGACTAACACCTATTTATAAGGAATAGGATATGAAATTTTAATATCCTATCAAAGGAATTAAAGCATAAAGCTAATGATTCTATCAAAAAGAACTAAACATAACATTGATTGATTGATTGATTGATGCTATCGAAAAGAATTAATTTTAATACTACTGTATCAATCTCATCAAAAGGAACTAAGTATCATATTTATCCTATAGAGAAATTAAACTTGATATGTACTAATATAAGGCGGTAGATATGGAATATAGCGGATAGTTAGATCTCAGTTATCGTTAGGTATAGTTAGTAAATCTTATAAATTACTGTACCAATGGCAATGAAGACTCCAAATCTTTGTGGGACACCATACTCCTGGCGTCGAATATTGAGTAAAGACAAAAAATTAGAGACTACGCTAATACAATTTTTCGTGATGGATATTTTTCAGTACCTTATAGTATGTCATTCCGTAGTCATTGCACCGTTTCGTAGCTCGATTAAAGATGGCTTTCCTATCAAGAAAATATTCAGCTGTGATTCAGATATCTGCTTTTTTAATGGCAAAGTTTAATGGCTGGATAGCCTAAGGATAATATACGAATACTGTACGTACTTTGCTAACGTCACGATTATTAATAATATGCCTAATAAAACATATCCAATATTGCTTATGAAATTATTGAATGCCCTAGGTTAAATATTGAAAAAAACTCTTAAAATTGAAATTATATCGGTATTAATAATATGACCGCAAATTTTTCGATGTTGATGGTCGCTTACTTACATAAATATGCCTAAACGATAACTACATAAGAAGTTATAGTAGCAAAGTCCGTCATTTCCTGGTTGAGCTACAAACTGAAAATAGATATTGGTGGCATTAATGTCCTTCTTAGCTTCGGAATGGTAATGTCAATATTTATGCTAGTGTTACCCTCTGATAGGTCATGACTAGCTGAAATACGGGTACTGCATAGAATATTCCAATAATAATCAAGTACCTATTAACCGAGATAATCTTATTAGCATAGATATAACAAAGATAGTTTAAAGTGAGAGTATTTCTTTTGCTGTACTTTATACCAGAAATATCGGCGAGCAACATTTTTTTCGTCCACTTTTTTAGAAAGATCAGACACATATATAATTGGCTAAATAATAGCAAGAAATGGAATAGTAATTATAATTAAAAGTCCGTAAAACCGTAAATTATACCGCATTCACTCTAATATGATGATATGCTATTTGGCTAGCAGACTAACACTGTCGAAAACATCCTTGTTGTTGTTTTGCTGACTCACTGCTTCTTAATCGTACATCAACATGGAGAAACGGTATTCATGAAACACAATTAGTATCAATCAGTATAAGACTGCATTTTATCAATTGTGGAGAAAATAAATGCTTTATTACATCTGTATAGGAATTTTATGCATGAATAATTGGTAATTAATTATATTGACAAAACTTACTTGAAGCTCGATTTAATTCTTGGAGCTGGACTATAACTACAGCATTTTTGTATAGCTGTTTCCAGTAATAGATCATGGGCAGTGTTAATGCGTAGACTACCGTAAATATACCAATAATGGCTAGAATAGGTATCCAGTAGGATTTGGCTAATTAATTAAAAAAGGCCTGTAATTAACTCCGTTGCTAAACCATACGCACGTAGTACATTTAGCTAAAGACATGAAATATATTTTAATTACAGTTCAATTCTTTGTGTTTCCACAATTAAGCAACTTACCGGGTATTAAATACTCCATAGTAACTGTAATATTCTTGGAAATCTCTTCTAGAATAATAATATTTTGTGTTTTTTGAATAAAATGCGTATTGGCATCCGATCAGATACTTGGTTAATATCGATTTAGTATTATGTCATGAAACGATAGCTATAAAGCGACTCTACTTTGTTGGATACCGTATGATTAGAAGAAAACCTGCGTCAATTTTATGTTGTGTTTTATGATCGCCTATAGCTCAGTTTTTTATCCACTTACCAAATAAAATTTTAGATCCAGGTGGGGATGTAGAAGGGATTGCTGGAGGATTATCTATACATTCATTGTTATTCGGATAAACGGCCATAATAACAACTACTCTTGGGCCAAAGTCGCTAGGCTGGGCATTAAATGAATAAAATATAATTTTTCAATTCATGATGGTATAGCTAAAATTTACCATCTACTGTACTTTTAGATTGCATCTAGTTATTCTGTAATGCTATTTTTAAACTGTTCATATTTCAAAACTAATCTGGACGAAATATATTACTGCACCTTTAGAGTGAGCCCGCTGGATGTTAACATGGTTTGATATCGACCACTATATCGGATATTGCTAATTTCATCGAAATACGGACACTAAATATCATAAAATGATTCATTACTTTGCATTAATAGTGGCTTTAAAATTTCATTCCTGGTACTAAAAGCCTTCATTACATTATATTGAAAAGTAGCCTTTAAAATAGAGAGTAATAAAAGTACGTAGGAGCCTACGAACAAGAACACGTTTAGACTACCGTAAAATAGGTATACTTTGTCATTTTAGATTATGATAGAATAAGTATCATTGACTCCATTATTTTAAATGATATCATTCTATATTTCCTAACGAATTGAAGTTCAATGTGGTCTATTTACCTCAGCCTTTTGAATGGAGACTACAGCACATGTGGTGGTCTTGGAGCTGAATTTAAGCATAACGTTTTGATCCTCATTTGGAATGCGATAGCCAAAGACCTTTTTTGCATATAATGATGATCAATTGGTTAAGATCTACGCTACTGAATCTTTCGTGAGAATATGACTACTTAAAAGTAAAAGTATTACACTAACCACAGGTGCGGATGGAGTAGCTAAAAAATTCTCCGATAAAAAACTGCCAAATAGAGGATTTGGAATATGAAATAAAATGTATACAGTTTACAGTTTACATCATTTCTACTGCATAGGATAATTCAGGCGTAAGGACGTCAAAATTTTTGCATATTATCTTCTATGTAATAGAAGTGTTCTCTTTACCTCAAGTAAAAATCGCCTATCATTTCTACCACTAATTCATAGTTTGAAATATTACTGGAATACGTAAAAAATTCAACTACAAATTGATTGAATTTTCTCTGATCGAAAGGGCACAGCGTCTTGCTTACTGTATGGGTGGCTTGTCTAAATAGTAAAGGAGTAGATAGAGAAGATCAAAATGGTTGGCCAGGGTTAAAAGTTAATTCTAATTAAGACTATAAACAGTAATTTCGTTTAGCTATTATGATTTAATCCAATGTGCAATTATGACTTATAGTGCACGATGGAAAGGGTGATGTCAAGCCTACTTTTGAATCATTAATGGTAACTGCCAAGATGAGATATGGCGATACTGTCTTACAAGGACTTGAACCGGATATTGACTGTCTGCATCAAAAGATGTGGTTGTAATACGAATACTTGATATCTGCATTACGTAAAGTAAAAATAAAATAAATGCAACAACAAATCATTTTCAGTCTTAAAGCATCCAATAGAATAGAATACTACTATAGATACTCTTATCCATAAATGATATCACAAAGGTGAACTTTTTCTAGTGAATAATTCACCATCAGTTTCTTGATTTAGTCTGAAAGCTTTATGATAATAATGGGTAATAGCTATAGTTGTTCCTATTAGCTGTAGATCAATATTACTTACGTTGTTAATAATGTTGGATACATTGAAGGAGAAGAAATAGCGAGAGGGCGACTGGTTAGAGACATTTCCTTCCAATATTACCTTACTTCCATCCTCTAATAAGATAGGAGCCGTACTACTCCATGAACGTGGTATGGAAATTAAGATTGATATCCCTAATGATAGCAATAATAGTTGGTAGCGAATAGATGTGGCCATAGCTGAAAATGTTCTATTAGACTATACTGACTTCCAATCGTTAGTTTAATACTTAAATAGCAATAGTAGTAGCTGCCATTTTCAATTTATGCTAATAGTCTAATCAAAATCGTCTTTGTGCAAGACTACATTTGCAATTAGGGGATGATTTATCTTTTTGAAACAAACTAGTAAATTATATAAATAAATAGACTGATGGGCCGTCAAAATAGCTCTTTCCTCAAGCTATTTATGTTCTACTATGTCTATGTATAAGCAAATGTCGAGTTTGCTCAGTATAGCTAATTGTACGTCCTTTCTATATACATATGGATCTTGACATATTGTCACGGTCCATATGTTACGGTCCATAATGTATTATGTTCATTTATACTCATTAAGGGGATACTTTTGATTGTCTCCTGCTGCTACTTTTAATCAGTTTATAGGTCAGGTGGTGAATGTATAGTTATAGTATATTGAATTACTTTCGATTAGTAATAGATCGAAGAAGTTTTGAGGCATGTTTATCTCGTATTTTGAACGCCAAAATAACTCAGGGCTATATTTTTCTTGAAGAAAAGATGAAAGGAATTATCGCTTCCATTTCATCAGCGGTCCATATCCGAGTGGGAGTTATCTTCAAGTTGTTGATCAGCCATTTATAACTTCACGATATGATTTTTAATCTTGAGTTATTATTATACTTATTTCACAGTATAGCTGTATTTAATCATATAAAAACATGAAAATAAATGTTATATGAATGTATAAATACGGGTAAAATCCTTGATATCACTAGTCCGTTAATGTCTAGTGCTGCCATCTCACTTATGATTACTGAGGTCTCACTATAGAACTTATTGTCCTTCAATTCGGTTGCCAAACGATGACCCGTATAAGCTAATATACTTGTAGCTAAAGTATTAGCATATGAATTTTATGCAGTTTGGTGTACGGTTTAAGTTATATGATGATGCATGATGGCGTCGACTTGTATACGTAGATGGCGTTATCTAGTAGGAGCTCTTGCTAGCAAGTTGTAATCTACGAAACGATTGATCTGCATCCTGCAATAACATTAGTTGTGATAATTAATTAATTATTGCGTAATCAACGATATAATTTTGTTAAGTAATGAATCATATGTTAACACCTAGCCATTAATTAACTACTGTTAAATGTCATAGAAAGTGTATTGCGATCCTTATTATATTCAGTATGTAGATTTAGCTATAAATTTATTACTGTTTTGCACCAACGAAGTTTGTGAGGCTATATAAAAGCCTCGAAGTTCTTAATTAAGAGGGTTGATAAGTTAGTCGATAACAGATGGTTATCAGTTGTTAGTAGTAGATTGTAAGTAGTGAGTTCGATCGGTCATTTTAATAAGTAGCTTTTAGAGTAAATTTTTGATTCTTAACGTGAATATTCTATCGTCTAAGACTCGAATCTAGGTTTGGTAGATTAAAGGGTGCTTAAAGTATGTTGCTTAGATAGTTAAGACGATTAGACCACTTTAGAGGAAAGAACCCTATTAATTTTTATGTTGCAATCTCGGTTGTGACAGTAGTATTACCTAAGTTTGGGTAAAAATTCCTATGATGAACTCAAATTGCAGAGCAGTAACGCAAAATAATATATTTAAGATGAAAGTATTGACTATGCGGATTCTATCAGCTTGAGCTTAAGGTTCAATCTATCATGCATGATAATCAATTAGTTGTTAATGTATAAATGTAGGTCTGCTAATATAAAAATGATTTTGGCGATATACGATATAAATCTGCATTCTGCTGCCAGAGTTGCTTTGACCGTATGTATTTTTCTAAGCTTAAAAATGAAATAAGGCAGCATACGCCTTTACCTAAAGTATTAGTAGTTGAAACCCAATTATGGTCCTTGTTATTAGCTACTCTTTAATACATGATTCCAAAATTTTTTAATATTGCATAGAAGTCAGTTAATGCAAGTGATAACGTGTCTTTAAATATTGTAACAAGAACTAAAATTTGTGAAACTTCACTTTATGCATGAATTAACTTTTTAAAATACCACCTGATTAATCCTAGGCTATTTTTGAGACTGCGCTACATTACTAAATACAAGTCGTTCCCTCCTACTTTGTAGTGCATTAATAACCACTTTTTTATGATAAATCGTACCTCGGATTACAGAGATTGGTCTTATTGTGGCCATCAATACACTTGCAGGATGTGATATATAACCACATGTATCACCTTTAGGTGAAACTAATCGCCTGTAAGTGCCTTCAATGTATTGAAAAATTACAGAAAATCTACAAGCGAATACCTCACGCTAGTTCACTTCGATTTTAATAAAAATTTCAGCTTTTGTTTTCTAATTTTATTTAGATTACGTTATAAATAAAATTTTACGTTTTTAAAAGTAATTAATTGTGATACGGTACTTTCCACTTTCTTTGCGGAAAGAAGATAAAAAATTTAAATTATTTACGGAATCAATAAAATTATTAGTATAGATTCATATCAAACATTGTAATCATTATTATTGTGCGAAGATTTCCTGTGCATTAATAGTACTTGGATTATGGACTCATGTGCTATTGGATGTAATCATCATAAAAACTTGAATATATACCCGATTTAAGTATATAAATATTTCTTTGATTGTGTTTAATAATGTATCGTTACAGCGGAATAGTGTATTTTTTACCAACATTATAATGTTTCTAAATGTTATTAATGGTAATTATTATTAATAATCGATAATTAGAACAGATGAATTTTGTTTCTTGGGAGTTCAAGAAGGTCATCATCTAACGTAAACAGGACCTAAATAGTAAAACATAATACAAGTCCAGTTATTACATTGCCAACTATATATAAAGCTCGATCTTTTATGCATAGTACTGTATATCCGCATAGTAAAATTTTACCAAGAGAAAGCAAAAGATTCCACCAGCGGAAAGCATATGCCAGATATCATGAGTATCATAAAAGTCCATAACTATACAATCTCGATTGTACTCTCGTGACTTAGCAGGTGTATACTAAAAACGACAATAAAGATAAAATTCTTACCTGACGAATTATTAGTATACTTACAATTACGCATACTGTATGTAAGGAATTGAGACTATACGAATTGCTACTACATTCATTTTTACATACCAGCCAGTTTGATCCAGCTTGAAAATAGAAGTGCAAGGCTAATCCCCATAACGCAATTGTTATAGCAAATAAGACCATCGGTAACCAAGGCATCGTTTTTTTTTCAGAGTATTGGAAGGATATCTAATTGAATAATGCCGTATCAGCAGATGTTAATGCACAAGTTTATAAAATTTTAACTCGAATTCTCTACAGAGACTTTAATTTGATTGACCTTTTTATAAATGTAGTAAAATAAATATAAGGCAAGGTTAACCAAAAGAATAGCCAGGATGAAACTACCGAAATCTTCAGGAGCTGCAGCAAGATAATATATCATCCTTTTTAACAATATAACAAAAATACTATCAGTATGGCAATGAAAGCTTGGATTAAAACAGAAAGTAACGTAAAAATCATAATTATGGCTATGAATAACTCTGAAATGCAATTTTATATGCTATTAAAACGACTTACAGGCCTACATTGACCAAGTTAACAAAGATGATAAAGATGGCGATGTCCTGGAAAATATTGTTAAAAATATTACGTGAATTAAATGATGCATACGGAAATAAAGATATTTATACTTCATAAAAATAGAGTACCCTAGGTTGAGATAATTGGTTACAGCGATGTAATTTCTGCGGCTCTAGACGAAAATTTATGTATCGACGAAATCCTGGTAGTGAAAAGAATACTTCTCATCATCTAAATTCCGGATCAAAATTGAAATGATTCATTAGGTTTTACTAAATCAAACCTTACCGAATTTAAATGTTCCAAAACGATAATATTGGATCGTTAATGCACCGACTACGGCGATATGAAATACTGCGAAAGCAATCCATGCACCTCGAGAGGCATCCGTTAGCTAAATTTTCAATCAAAGCCATTAGTTCACAATATATTTAAAAAGTATAAATAGCAGTTCAACATCAAAAATAAAATATTAATTTGGAGCTTACAACGCCAATGACACATAGGCCAACGATTATGGTAAATGAAGCGAATATTAGGTGTGCACTAGCGATCAAATCTGGATGACGAACAATATAAAGCTGGACCATGATTAAAATAGCAATGATGTACATGAATGATGTATCTGTAAAATGAGGCAACAAAGAGTCGATATTATCAGTTAAATAATGAGAACCAGCCGTGATGAATAGTATGATATTGTACTTCTATACTAGCAGACTTGTATCGACTTGTAATAGTACAGTAGGACCTTTAATATCCGTAGACTGTAATATTACTAACATATTAGAACTATTACAGTATTAATTTACCAAATTGAAAATTCGATCTATTAGGACAGATGTGGTAAGTAGCGCTGAGGATTCCTTCTAATATCATGGCAAAACCTGGGCGTAGAGAGCGGGTAATAATACTATTTTGAATACATTCTCAAATATAAAATAAGTAGAAAGAGTACGTTATCAATTAATTTTTGCTGTTTATACACCCATTGATGTTGCAAAGCTGATCTAAGATTAAACGCGACCTTCATATCACATTTAAGGACAAAATCCTTATTCACATAAATGTTTCTTTACTATGTTCAGAATTTAAAAATCTACTGTTAAGTAAGCAATTAAAATCTTCTAGCCTCAGACTATTAATTTATATAGTCACATACTCTACAAGCGAATATTATAAATAATAAAAAAGTAAATAATTTAAAACTTTGTACATAAATCACTGGCAATTAAGTTATATTTTAAGCTATAACTTTCACACAGCAGTTCTAGATTAGCTGACGTTGATAGTTTTAATAAGAAATACCTATAGTGAAATAAAGCCCAAAGCGCTGTGGAACTCCATATCCCTACCGAATGAGAAATTATAGCGATTGTATTACATTGTAATAATAAGTTGTATATACAGCAATCATTGTAAATTGCATTAATTAGTTATAACGGTTAAAAGCAATAACAACCTTGGCAAGTGCGATACACTTATTTGCCGCCCGAACATAGAAATATTTTCTATAAATTCAATTACAAGGCCTTTATCAGAGTGTTGCTTAAAATTAAAAAGATATCTTTTTTACTTAGCTATAAAAGATCTTCAACATACTTTCCAGAAACCAAGATTATAAATAAGGCTCCTAACATTATATAGCCAATGTTACTGAAGAAGCTATTGAATGATCTATTATCGTAAACGTAATGCTAATAGTGAATTATTACTTAACAAATCCTAATATTAGTTCCGTTGAATTTTTTATCCAGTTATAATAGATAGATAATTTATCTAAAGTTGAACAAGGCTGACTCGGCTACATTAACTCATATTAATTGTGAAGAGAATTTTTAAAATTTGAAATTAGTATTGCTTTACGAGTTAGCTGTAAGATGATTTACAGTGTTGCGATACATTTATATAGATAATTGATAAAATAATCAAGGCGTTGGATTTTGGATATTACTGAATACTTGAATGAGGGTTACATATCTAGCGTTTAAAGCTTAAGTGTGAAACTCCAGTTTAGTAAATAAATATTGAACTTTGACAACTAAAGAAAGATTTTCCAATAGTCATAACAATGCTTAAAAAATTTAACAATTTCTTACCTCAAACTCCCCAAAGGTCGACTACATTTAAAATTGTAGTAGCAGACATCCTCATTTCCCGAATAGAACACAAGCTAGGGATAACGTGAATATTAGTGGATTATTACGCTGTAACATGTACAAAACAACCGAGGGTAGACTATGAAAATTTGATACTTCATTAGGTATTTAAGCAGTTACTATAAAAACTCAAGGTACTAGGTGGATATACTTACATTCTGGTACACTAATACTAATTGAACAGCCGGTATGATGTAAAATATCCCAATTAGAAATAAATACCTAGGTGAATGGGTAAGAGTGATGCTAAATCTGTGTAGTGTAGTCTAACGCAAACAAAATATTGCAATAATAAATACCAGAAGTAATCCTTTGGAACTTTTGCCTTGTTTTCTATTCGCGTTAAATCGGATACGTCCTTCTGTAACAATAAAGCCGATTAAATTACCTTAAACGTTTGCTATCGTCATATGGTCACAAGCTAGGTTAAAACATCGTATTATTTGTCGTGGTAGTACTGATTCGAAAACTATACTGTAGTATCAGCAGAAAGACGAAATGTATCACATGGCATAGTTCAGACCGGTAAAAAATAATTCCAGATAGTACCTTTGATACTGTACAGTGTACATCATGTACCTTCTACATAGATTCTTAGAATATGAGTATATTGACTACGTACTCTTTCTTGAGTCGCATTACCAACGTTACCAGAAGTTTCAATGTCAATTATATCCCTATGAAAGGTGAAGAGCGTTATAGCATGTAAGGCTAAGTGTCGAACTTCCGGTTCACTTGCATTTCTCTCAGCCTCTGTAGAATTCGCTGGTTGGTGATTGGTCGATGCTGTATTGTTATTGGCAACATGATTACTGTTATTGATACCTGTAGCTGCAAGTTTTCCCAAGAAAGAAAGTGGTATTCATTAAGTGGAACACTACCAATTCATGTCATTAGCAGTTTCGATTTATTTACTCAAGGTAAAGCCTTACGATCATTTTGTTTTGCTAATTTTTCTTCAATCCCCTTAATTGCCTTCTCGTACATGTAGCGCCAATATTTTAGCAATAGAGCTGATATTAGGTAGATACTTAGAAATACAAGTACACATAAACAGATGGGCATGGTATAGCGTTGGTCTAATGGTAGAAAGTAGGGAAAAATTTATTAAACTACAGAGGTAATAAATCGGGGTAATTATCTAGGAGAGAATAGAACTTACAAGCTAGTGATGGCGTTATCGATATTGTTATTTCCTTGCTAGTAAGTACTGAAAGAAATTTTGTACAATTATTAAATGATAGCTTTTGCAACATAAAGCTCAATTTCTGGAAATGCTATTGCCTGCATAATTTAAATTAAGCAGCATTTTGATATACTATGAGATTGGACACTAATAAATCTTACAAGCGTTAGTGTTGTGGGATTTGATCTCTTCTTCACATTCTGGATTGTCTGCATAGACGGCTATGATTGCAAGAAAACCTTTCGCATAATCCTTTCGCTAAAATACATAAAATATAAAATTGAATAAATAATCAAGCAAATAGTATTTTCAGAGATTTAACTTTATGATTCGTATAGATAGTTAAGTACTATAAAGTAAATGGGAACTAAAATGAAAAGTACAATCAGTCAAATGATGGTTATTACTAGTATTGAAATTGAACTTGATTTTGACATAGTTTGAAATCGACCTCCGTAACGGATATTATCGATTTGGTCAAAGAAAGGGCACTAAGAGAAAGAAATATGATACAGAAATTATCACCAATTATAAATCAAAATAAAGACAGCAACGAAATCTTAATGTACATTGTAATTACGATAATGATAGTATTATGACAAGCTTTTGAAATTGTTTCATCTATGTATCTATCTTCACCTCAGGTTGTTGTACAGAAACGACCGCGCATGAAGACTTCTTAGAACTTAACGTCAGTGAAACAGCATCGGCATTGGTTAAGAAGTTATAGGCAAATACCTAAAAAAGTAAAAGTGCAATGCATATATACGCGTATAGTAAGTATAAGTTATGTTACGTTAACCATATGTATATTGATAATCACTTAGAAAATTGCGTCGATATGGATTAAGATTTGAATTAGCAATTGCCAAAAGGCCTGTCAGTATATAAGATAGTAACGATAACTTTAATCGGTATGAGTGAATGATATAAATACAAGAGTGTTAACGGAATATTACTGGCATCCATGTGGATTAGTCGAGTACGTTTAGCGTATTGATCGATCATTTGTAAATTGATACTGCTAAGTCTCTAACAAAACTGTATTAGTAAGGACTAAGATTTACATTAGAGAAGTCGAAAATATTTGTCAGCCCACATATAGGAAGTTGTAGTGCAGCCCCAAATTAGTCTAAGATTACAACAGATAGCCCTTGGTAGCTGTTAGACGTGCCTAATTTATGTAATAATGTGAAGCCTATAGGAAGCAGTAGCTCCTATTTTATTATTTTGAAGCCTTTTTACAACAGCAGTAAATAATTTTAACCATACGAATAGACGAAAATAAATAAAATTTGACAGCGTATTTATTTACTTTCATTAACATTAGTGTAATGTATGACCACAAGGGTATATTGTTTACCGGAAAACCTGTATACTTCACCGCATATGAAATTACGCTGAAGCGCAGCTTACAGAGAGTACATTATCACTTCGACAAATAAAATAATTCAGTGCAATCTAATATTTAGTCTGCTTACCATAGGTGATGATGGAGAGGCAATAAAATGGTTTTGGTGGTGTCTGTAGAGAAAGTTTGTAGTTTTAGAATGCCAAAAAAATAAGCGTAGGTATAGAAAAATCATGATGAAAGTCTACTTACCCTAAGTAGAAATTTTCCAAAGTTGCTACAGTAAAGCTGTAATGTATAGTAGCATTGGCGAAAGTGGAAAATTCTACGACAATATTTATGACCTGGCCTTGATCGAACGGGCATAGAATTCTGCTAGCCGAATTGCTATAGTGTCTAATAAACATCAAGCGTCAGTAAAAGTTTGATTTTAACAATTAGGATCCCGTACTAACAATAAGCGCAGAGCAGATTTTACAACTACTGAGACTGCAAGTATCATTTCTAGATCATCAACTGATCGATCAAGTTTAAGATTTGTGAAGTGATTAATTAAAGAAGTCTTACTTTTCTATTAAAAGAGGCAATTGCCATGAGGTAGCAAAACGATTTTGTTGGATGACGACCAAGATCGGAAGTGCAATACTGGCATCATCGGAAGTCGTAGTGACGCGAATAGTGTTCATCTATCATTAGTATAATTTACATCTATTAATTTCGTATATATTATTCATTAGCATCAAAAAGGAAGCATACAATATCCATTTCCAGATTACAAGTAGACTAGTAAATCTTCTAGTAAACTATTGTAAATAAATATTTACCGGTACATTTTATCTTAACCTACAGTAATCCATTTAGCAATATATTACTTGATTCATCTATAGATAATGGACTAACCCGATTTTTCCATGGAGAAGAAATATTATACTGAAAGTAGTGAAATTTCGATGCCATATTGGTAACATTTCCGCGAAAACTTTTGGATGTGCCACTTTGCAGGTCAATGTAGTTGCGCTTTCCATGACAGCACAATGAGCAAATCAACAAAGTCAGTTGTATAATTAAGATAAACTGCTGGATGCGCGACGATATCATCTTGTAGGTTAGGTGATTGATTGACGCAAAAGCGTATATATACAGTACGTATAGCTTGTACAGTCTTGGCCAAATTTGAGTTTAGTGTAGCTCTCTCTAAATTCGCTGTGTCGATTAATTACTAAAATAGATACAAAGATAAAATTGAATCAGCCCGTATCAAATCAGCCATGGAAGTGAATACTATGATGTTTCCTACTGGTAAATTAATTAATAACATGAGTGTGGGTAAGAGATGCATCTGAATTTCTACAGTCAGTTGTAGTCATTTGCTAGGTTATCTTCTTTCCTTTCATTCTATTTATTACTGCAATGATTTACGTACTTGATAAATAACTAATATAGGGTAAACAAGTAGATTGAATTGCACTTTTTATAGGATATCAGTTATGCATCTATTGCTCTAGATTATCCGTCAAAGTCAAGGCAAGGTCTGTCTTTCGATTTTATTATTGCATCAATTTACTTCATAATTGAGTCTACTTGACTAAGTATCTCTAGCATCTGTGTCGTTACATTCGTACTTCTATATCCTACGCTAGTTAAGGGCAAGACTATCTGTCTTTGGTCCATCCATTTACTTTACATAGACACGAAGTCTGTTCCACCAGTCTTTTACGATTGCCTCAGTGACAGCAGAGTTGCACTCGTAAGATTTGCTTGATAGAGGCAAGATTGCCAATTTATTTCAATTCATTCTACTAATGTATCCCACTTACTTTATCAATGAACGACTACATTAATTCACTATCAGGCGTTAAGCACTGGCTACGGTAGTCGAATCAAGATTGCCTGGGATTCTATTACTTTATCGATTTACTTGGGCAATGCCTACCACGTACACGAACTGTATTGAACTGGGTGGCTTTCACTCCTTTTTTTTTGCCCCTCTGTCGCTGGTTACGATTTCCTTTTGTACTCATATTTCTAAGAGCATATTGAATGCTGTTCAATATCAATTTCTGACTAGAGTTAGACTCGTATTTCTACCGTGCTGTAGAATATATAATCGACTCTGGTCGAAAAAGGCAATATTGCGATCTAGTGTTGACTATCGATTTCATGAATACTGTCAGAAATAACTTTCAGTCAAGATTATGAGGAGTCATGATACCTATCTGACTGTGGCTATTGACTTTCAAATCGGTTCTTGTAGACATTAAAATAAGGGCAAGAAAGCAACACTTGACAAATTACAGAGCACTGTACATTGAAAACTCTCATTGGCTACATCATGTAGAGTAGAAACTAGGATCGATTGAAGTTTCTGGACTCTAAATTGAGTGTAAAATTGACAATCAATAAGAAAACTTACATTAATAAGACAAGAACAGGATTACTTTCATGCTTGCGATTTAGCTAGACCGATTGATTTCTTGGACAAGGAAAGTACTGTCTGATGGTACACGGTTGAAGTGGATATATATGACGTAATTGCATCACATGAAGCGCGTATGAAATCAATATTGATTATTATTATTACAGCAAACAGTGAAATTATTTATGGCATGTCATGTCGTGACTCTTTCGTTCATTGCTCATTCAACGAGATTACGATCGTTTGAAATCTTATTTTATACTGACGAGAATTAATTATTGATATAATAATATATATGTATATGCTATATAAGATAATTAGTTAATTCGCTTATGTTATTAATAAACTCGCTACGTACTCGCAATTGCTCAAATGAGACAGACACTGGTACAGTGTACAGTACTGTAGTGACTACAGTACAAGCATAAGTACTAGCAAGTACTGTAGTGTACACAGTACAGCATATCAATGATATCAACGTCAGCGACACTCATTATAACAGTAGACACTCTTATCAAAGACGATTACACTACGTCGTACAGTATGCCATTGTCCCATTGCAAGAATGGCTGAAAATAAGACAATAGATGCGGATTCGGCCTACACTACACACGCTTTGAATAACTTCAACGCAGAGCTTAAGGATGGAAAGGGTAGGATTTAGAGTACCATTTTTCACTGCATATGGTGATATAAATAAGGATAGTCGTTTCGTTAAGGTTAAAATATCAGTAGCGTCGCTATCATCGATAGTGCTACAGTACTTTATTAATTCGTATACTTTATACCTATAAATCCCGGTCGCCCATGCTATAAATAGTGTATAACATATAGATACCGTGCTAGCTATAATCCGTCTGGTATTGCGTGCTATAGAATACTGTATATCCATTTGGGACATTATCCGACTTCTGGAGGTTTGTCCATAACTCAACGGATTATGTAGCAACTACTTCAATTTTATCAGTACAGGGTTATTGTCTCTTCCCCAATCCCCCCATCCATATGTGGCGAAGAGTCTATAATTTACTTTTAATTTAATTTGCTCTACCAAGTATTGGAAATGTAGACTCACAATACTCTATACGATCTACTCTACTCTCTACTACTGTACTCGATTGGATCGCTGGAAGCCTAGAGCCATAATAATGATACGAGATATGGCAGTACCTTACAGTTATTATAAATTTTTTCTTTGATTACTTTACTGCATTAGATTGCCCATTTCAAGCCATGTACAACATAAAAAATCATGTCCTATTATATCGCTTGTATGCAAATTAATATATAGCCACTTTCTCGTTCTATCGAAATAGAGATGTAAGACAAAGAATTGCTAACATGCAAGTACGGTACTTAATTATAAGCACCAAGACGAACGACGAAGCATCTTCACTTATACCATGGAAGACTAATCTTAGCAGGCAGTAAAAATAAATAAACATTATTAAGACCAAGACTTGATCGTACGATATGTATTTACCTACATTTCTACTATCCACATATTCAAGTACAACACTATCAGCATATACTCGTATATACAGGTTATCAGAAGTTGTAGATTGAATCTAAGTATCATTTCAGCAGTTTGTGGATGAAGTAATGTACATTTTTTACCATTTATCATTTAACAAAGCAAAAAGTTTATTTTAATACAAATGAGATGACCCCAGCAAGATTTAAAACGATTTGTTGCTTACCTTACGAAATGGTAATTAAATGTAATCACCCGTTTAAAATCCGCCGTTAATGAGACATTTACTTATTTCGTGCATATGCCTATCATGCTAGCGCTAATGTCACTATTCCACAATACTAGGTATTTATTTAACAATCATCTTTCGCCTTTTGTAATCAGTAACTCAAGAGATCGATTACTACGATCACTAAATTCACTTGTTTTATTAATATTGGTTAAAATTTGTAATTTTCTCAATTTTACAGTTTATTGTAGAGCGAGTATCGCTTATGTAAACCTAATTTTCATACATTATTACCGAATCATACAAACGGATCTTTCTTTGTAATTGCTAAATACGCATTTTGCTAAGAAAAATAGCTTGGACTAAATGGCTACCGAAGATACAGAATATAAGTCAAGTCTATCTGAGAATAAGTTCTAGATCATTTCCTAATTTCAAAAATAAATTAATGATATGGAAAGTAATACCGTAACAAATACTAGGAGTTGCAGTGTAATGCAAAGTAACAAATCCCAGTTCAAATACCTTGCAATGTAAATCATATCATAGATCAGCAATCAAGTATTAAACTCTTCTAAAAATTCATTTTGCTGCATGTTTCAAATTAAGTTTCGCTGGTATTTCTACAGTATATGATGATGTCGATACAGAATATAATTGATAATGGTAATTTAATAATGTAGGGCAGTTCTTAGGTAATAATTTTTCCATTAAATCAAAAATTAGACTTACAATTAAAAAACTCTTATTTTATCCCTTGGAACGCTAATTAGGTCATCATCCAACGTCAGTAGGAGCTAACAGTTGTAAAGACAGAGATAAAAATGCATTATTAATATAATTAAACCCAAATCCAAGCTTCACAATACTGCAAAGAAAATCAATTTTGTATAATGTCTCTATTTCAGAAAGATAGAAATAGCTCGCTATGGTATATCAATACCAGTAGAGAGGTATAAAGAGCTCCTGCTGATAAAAGGTGCCAGACGTCATGTTCATCAAAAAAATTTAAAAATATACATGGCTTGTTGTATTCACGTGAATTAGCTGGAGAGCACTAGAAAATTGTCCAAAATATCATTTCGTATTAGCATTTTCAAAAATTCTCTTGCAAACGAGCTGAAATACACATTTAAAAAATATCATATAATGATAACATATTACCTGCCAACAAGATACTGGATGGAAAAAGAAATATATTGCTGAAACCCACAAAGCGCCAGTTATAAGCATTAAAATTAATGGCATCCAAAGAATTTTCTCATTCCTCTCATTGTATCTAACTTGCCGCAGCTGACAAAATGCAGTTAATTACAAGCAGAAAAAATAGAATAAATATCAAAGCCGTAATAGCATAGAATCACAAAATACGTACCTTTTTTATAGTATAATAAAGCAAATAGGCAGCTAAATTACTTATAAAAATGGCGAGGAAAAAAGTGCCAAAGTCATCCGGCTCTTTTATTACACCATATAGACCTCTATAACAAAATTTGAGATATATTAGGTACACAAATATTCTGATTGATTAATCCGCATATATTTCAACGTAAAATTTACTCCTTACGCTGCCAAATTTAGACAGTAAACGATCCCAATAAAGAAAAACAGATCCTATCGATTAGAGATTAAGTTTAGACATCGCTATACTCGCATTTATCTACATCTGTGTATATGAATTATTACAAAATCATATCGAAAATCACCTTGGAATAAAGTGATGCTATGCAATCTCTCCTACTACAAATTCTTCTCAGTGCTCTTAAACCTTAAGACATCATTACATTAATATTTAGGTGTCATTAAGTAAGATTGCTTTTTTATATGTTACGTGCCGCTATACTCACTAAAACTCCATTTTCCGTCATAATATATTTGCAAGGATAAGATTGTAACCACAGCAAAATAGATCAGGTCAAATATGATCCATATAGCAACGGATTTAAATAACTATTTATGAATGCAAATGATATATTTGATTCAATTGGAAATCAGAAGAACATTTATTATGCACAAGGACTTACTACACCAAAAACGGCCATAAAGATAACTAGGGCGAACGACAGGAAAACTAGGTGTGCGCTAGCAATTAAGTCAGGATGACGAATATTATAAATTTGGACCATGGAAAGAATTGCAATGACATACATATACGAGGTATCTGAGAAGCAATGGTTAAAAAATTTTATTATCCATTATACCAAGAAATATATTTTTCATAGATAAATGATTACAGGACTGTATATATCATTATTAATCATACATTGGACGTACCGAATTGAAAATTGGATCTGTTTGGACAGATATGGTAACAAGCACTCAGAATGCCCTCCATAATCAAAGCTATACCTGTTGTAGAGTTTCAATTACAGCAAGATATGTTGCAAAGCATCATCAGAGGTTGCAATGTAGTGCTACTGATCTGCTGATATAAAAATTAATTAAGATAATGTATTTTACGGTTGAGGCATACCTATTGCAGCATAAATCCCGTACCGTTGGGGAACTCCGTAATTCTACCGATAACGTCATGGTACATAATTGTAAGAAAGACCAGAATGTCTAAATACAACTTTTATATTTAATCCTTACGTTTCTCAGCTGGCTACATCGTTGTACAGCTTTGTAATATATGCCCTTTCTAAGGAAATGAATAAGTTGATCAGCTACTAAACGAGTTGCTCCTGGTGTATTATTAAAACCATTGTGGTACAATTGCATCGTAATATTAATTACCGGTACTTACTTCATCTGGACTACAACTATAAATAAAAATCCTAGCATGACATAGCCGATATTGCTAATGAAGTTGTTAAACGCCCTACAATGTAATGACAAAATACAATAAAAAAACAGTATATCCCAGTATAACGAATTCAAAGCCGTCTGAGTGATTAGTTTGACATTAATCACTATAATTCTTACGAGAAGATATAAAGAGGGTGACTGCATTTGAAGTTATAATAGCATATTCCATCATTTCCCGTTCGTCTCACAATCTTGTTCATCAGAACATTAAATAATAAAGTTAGACATACTATTAACGATGAATATACAGTTAGGAAATGTAATAGCTGATAATTGATTAGCGGAGATAAAGACATGTGAGGAAATATCAATATTACGATGAACTTACCTTTTGATACGTTATTACAAGTTGAAAAACTGGTATCGCATAAAATATGCCGACTACGATTAAGTACCTTTAGAAGTAGAAATTACACAATAGTTCGTAAGTACATTAGATTATCTGTTACAACCATTCCAAGGAAAGTTTTCAGCCTTTAGGTATGGTCGTAACATATTCATTTGAATAGATAAAAATGATTATAATTAGCCTCACCAAATATACAATCTAGGAACGTTAAGCTTGTTGTTATCTTGAGATAGATTAGAAACATATCGGACTGACTAGAAGTAGTTAAAGTTCATTGTTAAATGCATTTTATCTTATATTATATGTATATAGCTATATTTCTTTGGATTTTAGTCGTACATTTCCATGCTGGTTGAGGTCATCATATATGCCTCTATCAGGATCGTCTTCAGTATTAGTTAAACTCTGCTCTTCGAGGGGGCTAGAATGAGTAATGCTGGTATTTTCATCCCTAACGTCCGTAAAATGGTTAGGAATCGTGCCATAAGAGACACTTGGACCGCTATCTAATAATATTTTGAAAGACAGACAAAGTAAATCTGTTTAACCTTAAGTGTATCACACTGTCTTTCGTATATGACATTTACATACTTCCACGAGTATACAGTTACATAACAAAATGAAATGACCTCGGGTAGAAGATATCGAAGAGCTTTGTTTATAAGGAGGACTTACTTATATAAACATTTTGACTCGGCACATCGCCATTGATTTCTTTAATAGCCAAATTATAAAGTGATCTCCAATAGCATACTAAAAGGAATGATAAGACGTATACACCAAGGTACATGCAGCTTACGACCACGATCGGAATTGCATAGCTTTTATCTGTATAGAAATAGCGTATTAAAAATTCGATAGAGTACTGTTTAATATCAATAATTGTAATTGCAAAGTATTTGTAAAATTATATACACATATTGTTATAAATAATCTACTAACACGCCAATGTCGGCTTCACATGTATTGTAAAATTCTTGACGATATCAGCAGGAAGGACTTTGAAATTATAAATAAAATGACAGTATTTATAAAATGCTGAAATTATTTTATGGAAAAACAAATTGGATTTTAAACTGTCGTAATACTAAAGTTTACATGGTTTAAAGTGAGCTCCAAGGTCGAGTGGGGAAGTTTTACTTAATTCACACTCTTTGGAAGTTGGATAAACAGCTATGATTATTATAAATTCATGACCGATAGAACTTCTCTGTGCAAACCGGAAAAAATGGGTAAAAAATGCCGCTATTGATTCTTGAAATTTAATTATGCGTACGCTAGTTTATAATGCTATTGAAAAATCAAAGCTATGAATTATGATTAACCAAGCTCACCTCTACTGAGACAGTACTTGAAGTTAGCATAGTTTGATATGTTCCTGCATACCGGATGTTGGTAATTTGATCGAAATATGGGCACTAGAGATGCATGTAATTATGCTATTAATAGTTTGATAGTTTTCAAGTTTCAGTACTACCTTACTTAGATGTTAATTAAGGTAATTGTGGATACGATAGATCATAGTAAGATAATTTTATAGCATTAAAATCTTAACTCAGCAATTTCAACTACCTGCGCTTTTTGTATAGAGACAATTGCGCATGCCGATGACTTAGAGTCGACAACTACGGAAACTTTTTCGACATTCCAGGGGAAATTGTATGCGAATACCTATTTTAAGCAATAGGATTTCTAACGATTGTTTATAAATGATGCACATGTACGTTTATCAAGTAGCTACTACAATTTTTTTCTAACCGCAGGTGATGATAAAGAACCGGTAAAATTTTGCAGTGCAGAGCTATAAGGGGTAATAATAAAAGAATAATATTATTGTACAATGCATATTAGATTGTAATGTCGATATATTAATACTTGCACCATGTGAAGTACAAGTAAAAAGGCATTATAATTTTGTACATTGACACAATAACACGTATGCCGAGAGGAAAGCCGTTACCTAATGTAAAAGTTTTTTACGATTCCTATGGATAGAGTGTAATGAGATACGTTAACTGCGTAAGTCGACAATTCAATTGAAATCTCGATCACATTTCCTTGGCCAAAGGGACAGAGTGTTCTGCTTACGGAGTATGTAGGTCGACTAAAAAAATATAGTAGTTTAAATTTTATAAGCTAAATAAGCAGCAATAAATATAATTGAAATGATACAGTAGATAATACCGACATCGTAGGTCATTGTAACACATTTCTTTCAGCTAATTCGATGAGATTGTTCTTCGTATTACTTACCCTTCAATAATAGTTGGTAAAGGCCAAGACAACACATGATCATTCTGTCGAATTACTACTTCGATTGGACGTCTTTTATCAGCATCCAGTGAAACAGTATTGATGCGAATACTTGTTGTCTAATCAGCATAATGATTTAATATGTGTTAAGTCCTGTACCGAAGTAACAATGTCCTTTCATATTGTAATATTTACATTATCTACAAGCTTTAAAGATTTCAAGTTACATTACTGTACATCATTTATAGGTATGTACGAGCGTACGCGTTTTTTATTCAGTAATTTTAAAAGAAAAGCATCTAGGTACAGTAGTACAGTACTATCGTATACGTAGCTTCTCAAGTTGCACTAGTTGAAGGTTTTAACCATTTTAACTTACTTCATTCGCAAGGGAAGTAATATTTGCAGTAAATGTATGTTTTGCTGATGATTTCCTTGAGATTTTTCCACGGAAGGTATTAAAGTTCCCTGATACACCGCTTGGTAGATGGTCTCCATGGCAGTCAGACAACACTAGTAAAGAGCTGATCAATACTAGCAGCAATTTATCGTGCATACTTGTTGAGCTAGTACCCAGGTAAAACATTCGTCATAGGTTAGAATTTTAGTCTACAGCTTTCAAAATCAGCAACGATATCAACACAAGTACTCGTACAGTACACGTACATATACGCGTACATTGAATGTACTGTACTTACTATCATCGATAAAAATAATATTGATTAATTAATTGCTATTGTATGAGAACATAATTGAGTCCGTGGTTGTTATTAATATACAACAGATGAGAGCAAATCGATGATAAGATGATTCATAGCAATATCACCTAATAAGTCTGTGATGTGCAAGTTATCTTCTAGCGAACGCGTAGTAAAGGATTATACAGTCGAACGTCATAAACAACTCTGGTATTAGATCTCACTAACTTCTAGACGATCTTAATAACAGTACAGTATCGACTCTACTTCTCTTCTAAAGTAGATCAGAATCACTGACATTAGATAAACTTATAGTACTGTGAATAGTGTTAACAACAAGAATTTCCGTTACTTTATATATAATATTAGTGCAGTATGATAATCGTTCTTTAGCATTCTAAATTGGCTTGGACTAGTAGAAGGCCCTACCGGTTGAAGTTGTTCACTTTCGTTGTACGAACATGCGGTACGTTCTCCTTCTATAATCCAAGGGAAATTTACCTTAGAGAATTTCAACCAGGAAAGAAATAGCTGTAAAGCTTAATCGATAGATAGGGTAGGTATAAGCCTTACTAAGATAATCTAATGATAGAAATGGCGTTACGATGGAGTGTTTTGCAAGCAATAGCAACACTGCACTGGCAGGGACTACTAAAAGAAGATGGCCACCCGAACAACGCAGATTGGAACTACAGTACAGTACAGTACTGTACTGTGTTCAAGAGTTGGCGAATAAATTAGTTTCGTTTCACTCGTAGAGTACTGTACGATGTACAGTACTGTAACTTACCTAAGGTACTGTACACTGTACACTGTACAGTACTGTACCCAAACTACCCATAGCTCGCTGTCCGTCCGTCTCCTGTTTATTAAACAGTGTTTAACAGTACTGGTTAGACAGAGATCATGATGGTAGAAAAATCGACATGCTTGCATGCAGCTTTGAGTGACTTTTCTATAATTGGCATTAGGACAATCAGTGGGCTCATTATTTTTTTTTACTCTTTTAGAAGATAATGAACAGAAGCAAATTGCTTTGGATGTATTGGAGTCCATTTTCTGTCTTCTTTTTCGATGGAGCTGTTCCATCATAATTTCCACGTTGAAGAGTTATGACGTCATTGTTCTTGACAGCAGACTGATTCACGCTGAGCCTGGTCCTGGTCATTAACTATGCATAAACGTAGTTAGGATCAAGGATCAATACCGAATAAAAATATTCTCCATTTTATTCTTAGTAGTCCTTGTCGTAAGTTACCATGATTGAGCTGGAAATGATACACTAGACAACAGCTTGCAGCAAAATTAAAACTGCGTTGCTGCATTTTGATTGATAGCCAGCCGGTCTACAGATCAAATTATCCAATGTTTAAACCCCCTATGTACTGTGTACTACTGTAGATACTCATTCTCTGCATGGCTTGCACTTGCAATAATTACATGTATGCGTATTAATTAAAGGTTTTCTTCACTGTATCTCGGTTTGTAATGCATTGTACACACTGTCACATAATGAAGTGAATCATTTTTGATTGGCTAATGTCATTTTATTGCGATGCAATGTTGGCTTGTGTACAGTATAATCCTTTCAGCTCACTACAATGGTAAAGGTGATACTGAATATGGTGGTAGAATACAGTGCAGAACTCTATTCCTTCATAGGGTTAAGAACTCATACACTATAGCTTGTTACAGATTTATACAGTAGCAAATAGCGATAGTGATGTATGGAACATTTTACTTTCCAAGTCTTGGTTTTAGCATATCCTTGCTTACTCAGGTTTGAAGCCAGCTGAAGAATAAGTGCTTGAGTGTACAATATTTTCGTTATCAGTTAGATATACCGTAAATGACGTTGGATGCCATGTGCAGTGTATTTATTGTTATACTGAACGAGGATACAAACATCTCAGAATTACAGTACCCATATGTAGATACATAATTATGATATCGCTTTGCAATTCTAATAGCGTGTAATAACAACCGAATGTCGCAGTAGAATTAGGAACCGGTCAATAAAATCTGCAAAAACTAAAGCTGAGTAAATCTCAATAACTTCAGGTATTAATAGCCAAATTTTTGTAAATGTTG